ACATATCAATCTTCTTTTTACTCCTGAATAAAATTCTTGAAATTATACATATTATCTATTTCTAAACATGTACCTTGATCCTAAAAGAGGGATAAACAAATACTTAATCCATCACAATGACACTAGAAGATATTACATCAGTGCTCCAACCTCTTCTTCCGTTAGAATGAATTAATTAATACTTCTTATAGTCTTACATAGAGCTCATCCAATAATAGATAGATAAACGCGCATTGTAATATAATTGTGCAAAGGACACAGATGCCTTTGATATTACACCTCAATATTTTTGTTATGGGACAATTTAAGGATAATCTACAACTTGACAAGAGCAGAAAAAAGGCTTAAGTACACTCAAAGAATACATACTACTGTCCTCCCGACAAGTCTACCTAGACTTAAATACATAAAGACACGTTTTAACTAAAGAGTTAAGATCATATCAAATTATCAGAGTTATCTTTCTTTTTCATATTTGATGCGTTTCAAAATTTTGTTTCAAAGAATCACCATCATCATATGGTATATATATATATATATATATATATATATATATATATATATATATATATATATATATATATATATATATATATATATATATATATATATATATATATATATATATATATATATATATATATATATATATATATATATAACCTGTGAAAACACCAAAATTAGATTTTATTCATAAATATTTACATATCCAATGTCTTTGTCCGAGATAAAATTACAAATTGTAAAAATATTTTATTTCTACATAAATCTACTGGTTCATCGATAGGCGCGGTTAAAAAAATCACGTGCAGGGCGGGACAAATAGAGACAGAAGCGGGGCCATTAGCACGGGAATTTGCAGAATCAGGAGCATGTAAATATAAGGAATAACTGTCAGATTTTTTGCATTCATGACGATGATCAATCGATTGGCTTGCGTGATAATTTTATGCATAAACGCCTTCGGCGTTTATGCAAATTATCACGCAAGCCACTCGATTGATCACATCATGAATCCAAAAAATAAGACAGTTATTCCTTAATTAATTACAATACATTCTATCTACAGCATTGATTTTATACAGAAAGATAACTTACAGTGTAGAGACAAAGTGTGGTGTTTTTCCTATATTTAAACAATATCTTCTGATTGAAATGCAAAGGTATTTACAGATACAATCCTTGGACATGATACCAAAGAAATAGGGAAGGGCTGTAAAAAGATTTGATATTTGAAAGACAAAATGAAGTGGCGTACTGGAAATTGCAGAATCATTATTGATAGTGGATTTGCTAATAGTTAGGTATGATCTAAGCATGTTTTTTTTTTTTTTTTTTTTTTTTCGTGAAACTACAATTAATGGAAACTGGAAAAGGATTATTATTACAAGGGTGTGTGAGTATATTAATATCTTAAATGTTTTTACTTGTAAATTACAGTCAGAGTTTAATTTGACTTTGAAAATTAAATCTATTGCGATTGAATAATCACCATTTTGTTGATAAAATGGTCATTTTTATTTCCGAGAGTCAAAAAATAAATTCTGAAGTGTATGTATATGCACATTCATATCTTGAGTTTAACAATGAGAGTGGAAATCTATTTGAAAAATAGAATGCTCATCTTAAACATCTATAGGAAATTTCATCGAATTTAGCAAAGCTGCCAGTGCCAGAAATAACCTGAAGCAAGAATCTTAATTCAAACATAAAATATTCATTAAACCTATTGCAAAATATGAAATTATAATCCGGCTAATATCAAGATAAGCTATCTTCTAGCATAATTGCATGAAAATGCTAAAAGATAACTACTTTATTTAAGTCTTATATATGCAAAAAAAATATATCAACACAATTATGTTGAAACAAATTTATTTGCAATGAAAGATGGGGATAACGAACAGTATTCAAGCTCATAAGTCTTTTCAAGCAATATAAATCAGGAGCAGAGCAAACACGAACCTCTAAAACATCAGAGGTGGGATCAAGTGCCATGCAGGAGTGAGCATCCTCTGCCGACCGGTAACACCCGCAGTGTGCTCCTTGTCATTATCCGGAAAAAAAGGAAAAATCCAGAAACAATTCAGTGTGTAAATAATGACCAAACAATTAGTATGAAAAGCATCAGTCAGCATTTGACATTTGACTTTATGATAGATTGTATTTGCTGACAAGGTCATTATATTGACCATAGAACATGAAAATGATGACTTTAAACGAGACTGTTGATATTCTCTGTCAACATCTCGCATCGTTTTAGAAATTGTTCAAAAGTAGAGCAAGCTCTTGCGTATCGAATCAACTGAGAGACACAAACTTCATAAACAGGTCAAAAGGGTATATTGCCACATAAGCAAGGGAAGTTGACGGTTGAAAAGTTGACGTTATCACGTTTATCATGAAGCTTTGCTGTTAAGTTTCCATTGTCATATGATTGGAAGTACCTACCGTTAATTATAATATGTCGTCGATATATCTTAATGTCGAGTTGAAGGCCAGAGCAAGTTTTTTCTTCTTTTCATGTAAAACAAAAAAAATCAGAATTTTTACAGAAATAAACAATACTTATACCTCTACTATACAACCCAAACTTGATTCCTTTATAAATCTTCACTCCTTATATACAAAAATGTTAAATGCTGTAACGGAGAAACTCCAGACGCACTGTGCTAAAAAATTCTAGAAGTGGTGAAATTCAGGACTCTTGGAAACTTTAAGTCACACATTTTTTTCAAAAGTTAGTAACATCAAAACGTACGACTTTTTTTACACTTAATACAACAATTTCTCACAATGAATTAAAAAGAGACCTTTTTTGATACCAATAGACAACTGCTTCTTCAATAAAAGATGGAACTCGGAATATCTTGTGATCAGTCATCAACAAAATAACTTCGTTAAAATTCACTCTAATTTTACACACAGGTGCTCAGAAGTTGATATTTAAAGGACATTTGAGTTCCTCATTGACAACATTTATGTAGTCTTCGGAGACCAGGTCTGCCAACGAACTGTTAGAATTCCGAAGGACACTTATTGTGTTCCTTTATTAGCATTCCCATGAAGTAGAATTAATACAAAAACTTTTACATGAGAAGAAAACAGTTCATTTGGCCTTCAGTTCGACATTCAAATATATCAACGACGTTTTATCAATTAGTATAGTTACTTCTATTTATATGTCTACTCGATATATCCAAATGAAGTTGAAATAAAAGACACCAAAGAGTCTGTTTCATATTTACGGACTATAGACGATAGAGGCCAACTAACAACTAAACTGTAAGACAAACTTCGACTTCAGGTTTTTCATCGTCAATTTTTTATGTAGTAATATTCCGCTATCACCTGCATATGCTGTTTATGTCTCCCAACTTATTTGATACTTAAGAGTATACTCTGCGTACAATCAATTTTGAAACCCAGACAGCTACTGACCGGTAAGGTACCAATTTTGACGCGACAGATGCGCATTTCGACAAATTGTGTCTCTTGTGCTTATGTCGAAACGTTGGAAATCCGAAATATTTAAATAAAAAACTTTAAAGAGCTGAAAAAGGGGGTGCCAAAGACTGGAGCCAAATGCGTCGAAGGATCACAGGTATACATGAGGGAGATAATCCTTAATTTTGAAATAAATTTCTAAATTTTACCATAGCAATTAAATATATATCCGTATTTTCAAGTTAGTACCGAGGTACTTAGCTACTGCGGGGTTTTACAGTCCACCAGCAGAGGCCTTGACCTGGGGTCATAATGTAAATTTTATACGGTACCAATTCTGATGCACCAGATGCTCATTAATATTTCCGGGTTTGCAGATTTGATTGGTAGCATAACTGGTCATATGATAGTAAATGAAATGTGAAGAAAAACGAACAGTTTTCATGCTAAAAGTCAAACTCAACAATACAAATTGAAAACAGAGCAAACATCCCTGAAAACATCAGATTGGGTTCAAGTATCATGGATCCGGAGGAATAAAGCTTGTTAATTTGAAATCTATGTCCAGATATTCTTTTATTGAGTGACCACTTGGCTTTCCCGACATAAACAAGTGCAAAACGGGTATATTTTAATCCGTAGAAACTTGTAAGTTAAGAGTTGCCAAAGTTTCTGTATTAAAAATTTTGTCCAGTGAAATTACTCATGAATGAACTGTTTGTAATCAAAACATCACAAGTTTTACAGTTTTTGCCAGAAAATTTAGAAGTAGACATGAGGTTTCAAGAATTATTTTCAAAAGCAAATTTTAAATGAAACTTACAATGATGCAATTTTTCGCATGAATTGTTTGCTTTGAACCAAAGCTGATCATATGAAGATAGCACGTATGCCATAATAATTATATCCCGGGGGATGATCTAAGGAACAGCAACCGAAATCCTTATAATCTGTGTCCCTTACAAACTCAAAAGATGTATGTATGACGCGTCCGCAAGTATGCATGATATCGCTATTCTTTTTCCTAATTATGCATAAATCAGATCCGAACGACAAGTATCCTCAGGAACAGACTGTCCACCAGCAAAGATGGCTGTATGTGACGCGGTTAAAATGAAACATAAAGAACATTAACTGTAATCATTCACAATCCCATTAAGCAATACAATATGAATGCAGAGCAAACCGAACCCCTTAAATGATCAGAGTGGGATCAGGTGTCATAAAGGAGTAAGCATCCTCTGCCTACTGGTCACACCCGTCGTGACCGCCTTGTCATAATAAACGCAGAAATATGTATGAATATAATGGCCTTACAATTTATATGAAAAACGCCAGTCAACACTCGACCTAACCGACTGGTTGTGGAAACAATGTCATTGTATCGACAATAGAATATGCAAAATGTTGATTATTGATAAATAACCTTGTATCATCAACTAATTTTTCAGTACCCTTCTTTGATTAGGAAAGTGTAGGTAGAACATGCTCTTTTGTATTAAATATAATATTAGTTTTTTGCTATTACAGGAAATGTAGGCAGACTCTAGAAGTATATTTTTATAATCATTTTATTTACTGATGTGCATAGAAAACTCTTAAAACTATTTCTAAAATAGTATCTGGGTTCATTTTTGAAAGCGTATTAATATAAAACAGATTCACATGATCAATACATTCTTCAAAAGTCGTTGAGAAAAATTAGGTCTTTAAATACTGATCAAGTCCGCTGATTGATTCCCCTATTCTATAGGATTGGGAGAGGCCAGCAACAGTTGATTTCAGACGAAACACTATGTAACCATTTGCCTGCACACATTGAGAAATTAAAATATGTTTTTGCTCTGCGGGTTCCAGTAGCCTTGGTACATATTTTTTTAAAAGAAATTTAACATTAAACTAACCTTATGATATTTATGCTACATTGTGTATAAAACAAGTGATCTAAATGTGCAAAAGATTTTTTTCACTCCTTTATCGGACAAAAATCCTTAATTTACATGTGGAAAGGTTAAACTGTAAATAAAAAAAAAATGCTTCAGAAAGAAAATTTAACTCGAGCATAAGATTTTACATTTTTGTGGACAAAGAGAGGGGGTTAGCTGAGTTTCATCTTTTCATCCATTCCGATAATGTCCTTAAAAGATATATTTGTTTGATTAAGAATGGTCATAGAAGTAATATAATTCATGCATATTTCGGATATTTCCATTTAATCTGTTTGTTTATTTAAATGCTGACTCCCACTACCAGGAAAATCATGTGACATGACATATTCGTAAGATGGTGGGGGTAGTGTATAATCTGTGGTATGAGATGACCGATTATTGTATTCGTTTGGAGATGACATCGGCCCCAGGTCTGACTGATTGCCAGGAACTGCACGCTCAGAGCAGCTGTTGTCGTCCAGTGGTGATCGGGAGTGTTGCACTGTGTTCTGGCCGTCAGGAAAAAGAGGCATTGATGCTGAAGCATTAGGCTCCTCTGAATTTCTCTGACGGACGATAACTGTTCCATCGTCTACAATTGTAAGAAGTTTACCAAGAAATTAATCTTATTATCATCATTAAAGCTATTATGTGAAAAGAAAGGGGGCATACAAGGCGAGGAAAATCCCCCGCTCTATGACCATGTATTTCTCAATTTTCAAAGTTCGCGGAAAAGTTTTATTGTTTTAAAATTATGTTGTCAGTAATTGTCATCTTCAATACATTTGACTCATTTACTTCATTGAATGACTTATTGATTGATAATTGTTTTATAGTTGACAGTTAAGATCTTTAGAGGAAAATGGGTATATTGGAGCCATAAAAAAAATGATTTTTGAATATGAATGGGTCATCTCCATTCTACATTAACGTTTGAATGACGGAACAATAAATGTAAATTCTATTTTATGTTTCGAAAAAATGGAGTCTGAACCCATTCTACATATACACATGAGAAAGGAACATTTATATTCTCCCTCACTATGTTCGTCCGAATATAAAACAATAATCTAAGTATGATAGTAATGAAAAGAACTCATATGTTAGGAATGGTACTCGCTATAACCTTTTATTTTGCATTACCTTATATAATTATAATATTGATTCAGTCTATTATAAATAAATTTTTCATTAATCAATACATTGAGAACCGTAAACATACATAAAATATCAAATACATAATGTTTATCTCATTTTTAAATATACGTGTATACCCGTAGGTTATAGCGAGACTCGATAATCGAACATGAATGAGTGAGGATATATATAGTATGTGATCACGTGATAAGTATGGACTGCAACGAATTTAATTTTATGTATATATCTTTCATTAAATCGTTCATTTAAAGCACGCTGATACACACCAATCTTAGCGTAGTGATTAACGCATTCAGTTTTACGCCTAACCGTGAGCTTTGGAGAAGGTTCGAATCATGGGTGACACCTCTCTCTTTTTTTTTTCTCTTTTCACATACCTTAAATACATAAATGAAAACCAAGTTATGTATCAATAAGTTATTCAATAAAATAGTACAAATCTCTTTTCTGCTTGAACTGTCAGTAAGGCGTGACAATCTCGGCGATACATAATTATAGCGTCTCTCAAATGGTGACCTTGATTCTCATTGGTTAAGAAATTAATAACATTAGCAACTTTAGATTGTTGTTAACATACAATGAGATGACATAAGCCACAGGTTCCTTGCGTCACTCGTTGACCTCTGAACCATTTTTATCCCATGTGTATTTCACCCGTGAATGAAAAGCTGTGTAAATTTCAGTATTGATGAGCTAATCTGGCAACCAGTGAGAATCTAGGTCACTATTTGAGAGATGCCTTACTGAAAGTTCAAGCAGAAAAGATATTTATACTAAAGGAAGCAAATGTGTAAAAGATGATATTGACAACTTAATTTTTTTTAAAAAGAATGCATTATTTTTCATGAACCTATAGAATTGAGAAATGTCTTTTCTCAGAGCGGGGGATTGTCCTCGCCTTGTGAGCCTCCATTCCTTGTGAAACACTGCATGCTTCACTTCTTTCCAATTATGAACTTAACCAACTTCAAACGTTTTGATTCTCCCAAGCCAAAATTTTATTTCTTTTGTATGAAAAGCAAATATGGATGCAAGACAATTGCTAAATGGCAGTTAAATGAAATCCGTAGTTATTTCTTTAGATATTTTAACATACAATGTTTTGTCTTTTCCTGGTTGTTCAAAATTTTTCAAATCGTTATATTAAATTCATTATCATAGCAAGTGAGGTTTACGTCAGTCATATTTGTTTTGGACCAGTAGTCGTGCACTCGGATGTCAGCCAAAAAAAAAATTACAAGAGGCCCAAGGGCCTTAACAGTCACTTGAGTATAATCAATAGAAGTATGAAATACAACAAACTGATAGATGAAGCTATGTTGCCCAAATGCAAGAGAATTATAATGATTAAGGATCAACAAAATAATTAGTATAGGACTCCTTAGTAAATCTTAAACTAGATCTATTTACTTATCTGTACCTGCCCCCATTTGTCACAATTATTTTGTAAACTAAAGAAAACAACAGTGCTTGAGCACAATTGATAAACCCATCTCATTCCCTCTCACATGACCTTTCTTGGTCTATGAAGAACATTTAATGTACAAAGATAAGGTGTTCCTGTCTCATTGTTAATTATCTATAATTAACAAGTCTACCTGACCATTAAGAACTATGAAAGAACTTTTTGTAAATATTATAGCCCCCTCCCCTTTATTAAACCTTTCAGTAACATCATTTACAATGATTAATTATCACCATGAAAAATTAAATTATCATAGGTAAATAGCAAAGGGGAATAACTTCTCTCAGTAGAATACAAATTGATAGAGCCCTACTCAGCATCAGAAAGCTTGGCCAAGTGGTTCACTTGACCCCTGATTCTGGGGCTTCTAAATTCATTTTTGGAGGATGCACTCTTGCTCATCATAATTATGCATTTAGTTTATCTGCTAAATATCCTGGAAGAGAAGAGAAAATTTTCAAAGAATTAATGGATTTTCACTATATAATCAATAGAGACACCCCCCCCCCCCCTCAACACCAGAACCCCTGTCCAAGGGATCACCACAAAATTTACAATGTTGAAAGAGACACCCTTGAACATCATAACCATGCACTTATTTTAACTACTTAATACCAAGGAGATTTTCAAAAAAAAATTATGCATTTTCACTCTATATCTAATAAGCCCCCAACACCAGAACCCCTTACCCAGGGGTGATGTTTTTTTTTAATATTTTTGAAAGAGGCACCCTGCTCATCATAACTATGCATTAGTTTTTTATTTATTTTTTTATTATTATTTTTATTATTTATTTATTTTTTTTTTTTTTTTTTTTTTTTTTTTTTTTGCTTTATACCCAGGAGAAGAAAAGAAGATTTTAAAAGAAATAATGTATTTACACTATATAATCAATAGAGCCCCCAGTATCAGAACCCCTGCTCCAGGGGGCATGATATTCAAAATGTGGAAGAGGTAACCCTGCTCATCATAACCATGCACTCAATATGTCTTCCAAATACAGAGGAGCAAAAAGAACATTTTCAAAGAAATAATGCAATTTCACTGTATGATCAATAAAGCCCCACCCTAACACCAGAACCCCTGACCCAAGGGCCATGATATTCACAATTTCGTAAAAGGCAGTCCTTCTCATCATAACCATGCACATAGTATATCTACCAAATACCCCAGAGTAAAGAAGAAGATTTTCAAAGAAATGATGCATTTTCAATATATAATCAATAGCCCCTCCCCCTTCTTACACCAGAACCTAAGTGCCATGATATTCACAATTTTAGAAGAGGCACCTTTGCTAATCATAACCATGCACTTGGTTTCTTTGTTTAATAAACAAGGGGAGAAAAGAAGCTTTATACAGAATTTATGCAATTTCACTCTATGATCAATAGAGCCCCACCCTGACTCTGAACCCCTGATCCTGGGGCCATGAATTTCACAATTTTGGTAAAGAACTCATTGTATGTTATAATCATGACAACAGTTTAATTGCATGATGTCCAGGAGTAGAGAAGATTTTTGAAAATTGCATTAATTTTAATTGTTTTGGACTTACCCCCAGGCCCCGAGGGGGGGGGGGCAGGGATCATGAAATTCACAATTTTTGACCCTCTTTGCCCAAAGATGCTCTATACTAAACTTTGTTGAAATTGGTTCAGCGGTTCAAGAGAAGAAGCTGAAAATGTTCAAAAGTTTACGAACGACTGACGACGCACGCCGACGGACGAAAACAGATTGAAATAGGTCACCTGAGCATCTCAGACGACCTAAAAACAGAATATGAGCAAATCCCTGGTGACTGAAATTCTATTCTTCAATTATTTTTCGAATTTATTTGGTATAATCATCTTAAAGATTGATTTATTAAAATAAATCACAATTTTATTTCATCACTCTTCCTGTACATGTATTCCTACGTACTAATTACGTCTTCGGTAAAAGGACTATCAAATATTTATCAAGTCAGCTTTTATACTGCTTGGTCCAATTAAACAATTTAAATACCCAGTGACTTTCACTTATGATTAGGCTGGCCATTGGCTCGTCATGTCCATAGGTGACGCTAATCTGCGTGGTTGAAGTATTATAATAACTCTAGAAACTGTAAGAAATGTGTACCCAGTATAACAAAATGGCGGCTTTTATATTGACAACTATGTATATTATATTATATTATATTATATTATATTATATTATATTATATTATATTATATTATATTATATTATATTATATTATATTCATACATGTTTCCTCCTCATATTTAACTCATTTCTAGAGCAAGACTTCCCACTCAAATCTTTGAAAATCAGCCGTATTTGATGTAAAATTGTATCATGTGAACCACGCACAGGAATTAAAATGGTGCACGACTACTGGGCACGCACGGCTATAGAACCTTTAACTATTTTGACAGTATTATATGATTGGTATCGGGTAACTTTGTCACTAAAAAAAGAGAAAATTTTGCATGTTCTCAATTTCCATTTTTAAAAAAAATAGTACATAAATGAATTCAATGCCAGGAAATCTAAAACTATGGAGTCTAAGTTATGTCTTCCAAGTCAAAAGTCTTCATCTGTGTTAATTAGAAATGACATAAAAAGCAAGTTTAATAATAAGTACAATTTTATAAATATTAAAAGAGCTGCCATTTCAATATACAATTTGTCCTATTTATGATATATTCTCTGTATGTGGGAAACATTAACCTTGCAAATTAAACAAAAATACTGAAAGATTTTTTTAATGAACATGTGTAGTAAACAAACCTACCAGAGCGAGCTACCGTCATTGGTATAGTTGTTTGTGCTGTGTGGCCACTTTTACATAACTGTACACAACAGGCTAAGAACAAACAGCATCCAACCGTCACACCGATAATGATACCCCATACAGAATCTGTAGATCTGTTTGAAAAAAAGGAACGCTTTCATTTATATTTCATCCACAGAAAATCAAAATAAAAACAAGAACTTCTTAATCATACACACTTACAGTTTTGTTTTATCTTCGTCGTCTTCGTATGATTCAGTTTTGTACTTGTAGCAACAGTCCTTCCAACAACAATATTGGTTAGAATAGCAGTAAAACGAGGACCGTTGAATTTTGTAACGAATTCTGGAATATTTTTTCTTTATTGCTGAAGTATTCCAATTATTCCAATCCCAATCCATTACTTTTTCGTAGAATTCACATATTTCTGCATCTAAAAATTTTTTTTGTAGGCATATGTAATAAATAATTGATATTTTGGTAAGCATATGTAATAAATAATAATTATAGATATTTGTATAAATAGTTATTTTCGTAGGCATATGTACTAAATAATTGCATTTGAAAAGAAAGAGAATCTTGCATTATGCAATCCATGTTGACGCTATTGATTAGGAAATTGTTTGTTTTGTTTGTTTTTTGTTTAACGTCCCTCTCAAGAATTTTTCACTCATATGGAGACGCAACCACTTGCCGGTGGAGAGCTGCAAATCTTGACCTATACTCGGCACTCAGGGCCATTGAGCAGTGAGGGGTCTTTTTCGTGCCAGCATCTTCTGCGACACGGGACCTTGGTTTATAGTCTCATCCGAAGAACCGGTCTCCATGTCCCACATTGGGATTCGAACCCGCGACGTAATAATTAACTCCTTACATCTCGACTCTAGAGCGGACGCTCTATCACTGCGCCACGCGGGCGACTGGAAATTGTTTGATTTATGCTATGAATGATTTTTATCCGGTTAAAAACAGTTAATTTTTTCTGATGTCATTTGTTTACATTTGTCCAGTAAATTTCTTATAAGTTATTGTTCTGCACTCAATCCAATAACTTACCTGTACGATAAGACTCCGCTTATTTGACAACTACAGGTAACATTAAAATGAAAACAAAGGGCGATGCAGAAAAATAAACAACACTGAAAAGGCTTTGATAAATAAAACAGTTTAAATAATATGAACAATGACGGATATTAGCAGCCTATAAATTAAAACACAATACTTCAATTGAAATCGACATAAATGATACACGGTTAACTAAATGTATCACAGCAAATGTTGTGGGAGAATCTCATTAAGCACCGATCTTAAAATCTCATTAATTCATGGTTCATTATTATGAATTTCACACTGATTAATACACTTGAATTAAGAACATTCACGGAACCCTGGAGATATAAAAGACGAATCATGTGTTTAACTACACTCATCCCTTGCCTTTTGTTGTAACAGCTACTAGCAAGTATTCCGCTCACCTAAGAACGATGGTACTTTAGATTGACATTCGGCTGGAATCTGGGCTCACTTGAAATGTGAAAATTTCATTGATCTATCACATGAAATTTTATCATTCTTTTGATGTATCGGGATTCCTATGAAATAGGAAAGGGATATATTTTGCTAATATTGTGTTTTGAAAATTGGATAGATCACACGCCCATCTTCTTTTAATTGATTCTGGGATGTAAGGTAGCTAAACACAGTTTCGTATAAAATCCAGGGTTTTCCTCAGAGAAAAGCATGATGGGTAGGGATTTCCCTGCTATTTTTATGCAGTGTACATGAAATTTGCAGCTTTTTTATTTTTATTTGCATAAAGTAGAGTCTTATCTTAAGATTAAATGAAAAAAGTATACAAATATTTTTTGAGAATTATTTTTTGTGTGACTTTTTAATAGTGGGAGATAACTCTAAAATCACTCATTTTTCACATGTGCAGAATTGCATGATTTGAGTAGCAGGTAAAGTAGCTCTTTAAAAAGCTGGAAAATGTACCCTAAAAGTACAACAAAAAGAAACCTAAGGACTTGCTCTGTTACATGTAAATGCACAGCACTTATATTTTCTGATATCTGCGCTGTTTGTGATCAAGGGAGCTAAAAATGCACAGGTGTACTACAATTAGAGGCATAAACTTCCCTATTTCCCCCATGTTTCACGTGTCAAATACACCTTATTAGTAAATGATAAATGCAATATATTTATATATTTATAAAATTCACAATTTTATCTTTCTATTGATATATAGATGTCTATGTAGCAAGTCTTCATATTATTTCTTTATGGGGGTCACTTTAGCATGTCCCTCATTGAGTAACGTCATGATAACGTCATACATAAAACTGTGTTTTGCACCCTTAAGGAGTGACACTAAATGACATTTTCCTTCATTTATCTATCTGTAGGTCAGAGAATATTGCTATCTTAGCTTTACTTAATGTATGAAACCATGCATTAAAGCTTCATGTTGACATTTATTCTTGTATAATGCATAAGGTACATGATTTTAGCTTTGTTACATGTATGTTATATTAAATGACGAGACGGAATGTGATGTATTATTTTATATTATGATGAATTTGCATTGTGACATCAAAGTGTGACGTCATGTCAAAAAGGAAGCTTCATGAGGTCGTGATCTTGAATATAATTGATCATAATCAAGGGATATATGCATCTATATCACATTTCATAATGAATATTTTGCTATGTTGACACAGTCTGGTCTTCTAAGGCAATCTCTCAATTTAACACTGTGACGTACCCCCCCCCCTTTTTTTTTGGGGGGGGGGGGTCATACTGCAACCAGAAATTTGTGTAAAATATAAAAATTTGTATTTTTCGGATGCTTTTTAATTTATATTTTAACATGTCATTAATTTAAATTCTCAACTTCCTCGGTCATGTTCATCGAATAAAATAAAGTAAAATTTGTAAGCTGCTAGTCACAGTTTTGAAATTTATCTCCAAAGTCCTGTTTAAAGCTGAACACGCTTCGTAAAAAGAATCTGTCCGCCATATTCAATTGGAATCGCGCTATACCTGAGGGCCCCTATATATAGAGCCGCTCACTTGGTCACTGTTCAATGTAATCAATCGTCACCGGTGTAGACGGACGTATGCTATATAGCACTTGTTAGCGACAAAAATAACTGTAATACTTCTTCTAATGCAGGAAAGTAAGATACCAAAGAGATTTACAACAATTGCACAGGTCAGTGCAGTATACAAACACAAATATACGTAACTGCAATAAAATGTAAACAAAAGTAATGCAAGATAACCAGCACGAACACGGGTCGCCATTCCACGCCGATACCCGTGACAATAAAGCAGTCACGTGTAACGAATGCAAAGAATATACCCTGGTGCTGATATCTAAGATAGTATTATCGAAAATGGCGTATGCCTATTTACGAGTCATGTTCAGCTTTAAGGAGTCGACCAATGTTAAAGACATGTAATACTAAATTGACAATTTCTTGGCTATTTCTGGACCAAATTTAACTTTGTATACACCAAACTGTTTGGAATTTTGTTCTCCTTGCATCTAGACACCAGAAAGTGAAATACAGAATTTTTTTATTTCCTTAAGCATGTATTCCGGATGGTGATTTGCGGCCATTTTTTTCTTCTATGAATTATAGTTTCTCGTCAACTCCCGCGTTGTTTGAGCCAATAAATCACAAACGTCATCAATAAATTATCGATAATTTTAAATCGGTTTACTCTAATTTTGACTGCCTTCACTAGGAAAATGATAGAAGTTTCTTTTGATTGTGACGCAAATTGGTGGGAAAAAATTAGCCTGGTTCCCTGCCCGTTATGCTTCGTATACTCCGCGACACTGCCTTGGCAAGAATGAGCCAGGGGACCAGGCCAGCAAAAATTTTCCTCCGACGCCAGAATTATTTCTTAATATTACAGTGGCTCAATAACTCTTATTATTGACAAACTGCAGTAGTAAATTCAAAAACTAGTTTTCTTTGGCCTATGGACCGTGCCAGGTAGAGTCATTCAAGCAGAAAAGTTAACCTATAGATGCCCAAAACGGAAGTGTTTGACATTGGTAAAATGTTATAAGTAATTTCTAAGACTAAAGCTGACCATATACATGTATGTCAGATATTAGTCTATTATCTTACATAATGAACAGTTTTTCAGTTTATAACCATTACTGAATAATTATAGAATAATTCACTCATCTTTAAAATGTTTGTAATTCTTAATCATAAACATTTACATACTGAAAAAGAATTGTATACATATTACATATACCTACATGTATATATATTCATGCATAATTATCGATAAATATCAACATCATTATATGTAGCTGTACATATCAGTACAGAATCAGATTGTTTTCTCATGAAACAGATCTATTTATTTACCCAGCAAAGGAATGAAAAATATCCACCACACCAATATATAATAGCAGTTTAACGCTCCCATATTTCTTTCACCTTAAGTTACCGCCTCTGCGAGCTGTGTAAAGTACATGCAGCACATTTCAGATTTAAATTCATGTTAATTTTATCTCAGAATCTTCCGTCGAGTTTGAAAAGTCGGCGAACCTAGACTGTTTTCGAATAGCTTCTGTCGTGCATCTTTTAAAAGTAATATAGGATTTTCACGTCTTGACCTCTACACAATAAATACAACTCACATCCATTATTGCTGAATCTTTATGGCGCGCTATAGTCGGCATAATATTTTGATAAAATGCATCCAGCTAAATGTCTTGTTTTCATGCATATATGATTATTCATGGCAGCAACTATTTTGTGGAAACAGAATTTTACGTGAGTCATCGAAAAAATAAGTCTGAGTCTGAACAGGGCACTCTTATAACAATGATTGCAACGTAGTCAGTATAGATATAAATTATGTCGGAATTCAACACTTTATAAGTGGATAAACTTGACGCCATTCATAGCCCCTGTAACAGGATGATGGTTACATTTCAGTCCCAAGTGTTACGAGATTCCATACTATTCACAATTGATAGTGACCTTATAATCCGACTGATAGCCGACACTTTCGGTGCCAAAAACGAGCGTTTGAATTTACGTCCTCAGGAAAATGTACCTATTCCAGTTCAAAATTTTATCCCTATGCAAATGGAGATATTCTTTTCACAGTATAAGTACTGGAAACAGTGTTGTTGAAAGAGCCATAAACCAGCGTAGATACCAATTCTCAATGACCATCGGCATCGAAATATAACTTTGTTTTATGGCAGTTGATCATGTAATCACTGGTATTATCCCGTTCTTAAAACTTGCAAATATCAATCCTTGAAATTTTAGGTCTCTTTCCCTTGAAGTGTGTCAGCCTCTTACTGACAGCTAAGTAACAACTATGGATTTCGCTTCGCATGTAGGACAAAGAGATAATAAGCCAATTATATATAAACTGGACATATTTCGCCCCAAAGCGTTGATTATAAAACATCTACCATAAAACAAAGCAATGCAGATTTATATTTCCTGCTTATCCCTGTTTGATTTTATCAAAGTTGGAAATGTTTAGAGTATATATTAAAAATGAGGACTGTATTTTAATAAATAGGCATACATGTGTTTATCATAACTGCATTGCATATAATTGGATCTCAACTATAATTTTTTCCAAATGATAAAAAATTAAGAAATTTGAGCCAGTGATGCACAATAAACGATATATTTTTGAAATATACATGTCTCAATTTCATTTCTTTTACCAGATATTCAAGGTATATTTTTCAATAATTATAGGAAGTATGTAAGGTGCATTTAATTTTAAAATGCCTCAAGCATGGACTTAACTAGATTTATTTAAATAACTGATTGAGAAATATGTTCAAAATTCAATAAAAAATTGGAATGAATATCCTCTAAGTCTTTTTATACAAATATTCAATTTTGAAGAGTGTTTTGACACAAATTTGTATTTTCTAAAAATTAACTTAAATACAAAAAAATTTTAAGGAGCAAAAAAAAAAGGGGGGGGGTAATCTCCATCATATCGAAACCTTTTCATTATTGTGTTTTTACACACACAAAAAAAACTAATTAAAAACCCTGCGGCAAATAAACATTATCTATGAGAATTAATGTCAACTGACTCAGTTTTCCAAGTTTCACTTTCACTCAAAATTGGATAATTTTGTGAAATGACGTCATCATAGGATGGTGGGGGAGCTGTAAAATCTAAACACTGTGCATAGTCATTTGAATCTATTGGAATTCGAGATGTTTGAATTTCATATGAGGGAGAATTTGTATGACTACACATTCGCCTAGTGGATGGAGAAGACTGTTCTGGTCTACTTTCTATTCCTGAGGTAGCTGTTGACCTGATAAGATTTTCGTTACGTGCAGGTGTTTGTTGTATGACCACTGTTCCACTGTCTACAAATACACATAATCACTGTTGTATTTGAATCTGCATTAGTTTTAACATTGAGGGTAACTTTGATTTTTTTTTTCATTTCACAATGACAAATGGTAAAATCAAGGTAGAGTGAGAGCCTTTTTTGATTTATTTAACTTTTTTTTTTATCATAGAATACAAGATTATTTTCCCTACATGCACGTTCAACGTACTTGAAGAATAAGCAGCAATGGTCGGCACATGTCTGATAGGAAAAGGTGAATCTCCACTTCCGTTTTGTTTGCAGCAAACATTGCAACATAATGCACAGACTGAAATTGCGACAACCAAAGCGAATACTAAACCAAATGTGCCACCAGTGGACCTTCAAACAAAAAATTTGAAAAAGGTGTTATACTTAATTCGACAATGCACAAGTCAATGTTCCAGATACAAAATTATGCATAAATAATTAATATAAAAAAAATTACATCCCAAACTAATTTGTTGTTGTTCATGTGCACCCACTCACCAACACTGTCAACACCCCACCCCATCCCCATCCAAATTTACACCATGAAAACGCTTTCTTAAGACAAAAGTTTATTGATATGATGAGTATATTGATGTTGCATCTTTGGCTTTACTTTGATATTATGCATGTTTTCCACTTTTCCTTCTTCCCATGATCACATTAGAACATAAGAATTTTAAAACAAAATTATATATATATATATAATTATATATATATATATATATATATATATATATATATATATATATATATATATATATATATATATATATATATATATATATGACCTTACAGTCCGTCATCCTCCGAGGTCATGTAGTGATTTTCGTCGTAATAAGTGCTGATATAATAATTGTTGTTACTTTGGTTCCTACAACAGACTCTTCCACAACAGTACTCGCCATAGCTACAGTAGACAGAGAACGATTTAGTTTTGTATCGTGGGGAGAGAGATGTCTTGTTCTCATCTGACAAGAAACTGGTCCAAGCCAAGGATTTCGTATAATACAAGCAATATTCTGCGTCTACAAGAACTGAAACGAATTGTTGAATTAATAAAAAATAATTTTACCACATACGTTTTCAGTAAATAAAAAAATACAGGTGTTTTAAAATGAAATCATTTCAGGCGACCTTGTTAAGTGGAAGGAAGAAATAAAAATAAGAAATACCTGATGAAAACAAAGTCACCACTTGAGGTAAGTAGTCCATCACATCTGAGGAAATATTTGTTTACTGTCCTACAAAGCCTCCGTATTGATGAAGAATGGAATGTGAACGTTCCACGTCTAAAGTAACAAACTTTATGCAGGATCAATTACGTTTCCTGATTTATCAGCACCTCATGTGGTCTTGTAACAGATATAATATATTATTATTATTAAATGAATGTTGTTCTTTTCCATAAGAGAAGTATTGATTGCTGGTTAAAGAATCCATGATAAACGGATAATGTATTCTGCGCGGTAGTGTATCCTAGACGGGACAATTTTACATGCTAATTTGAAGCTTTGCACATCCTGAAAAAATAACATTCATACATTACTTGGTAATACATGCCCAACTCTACATTTTTGCAGATAAGTAGATTTTGATGATAAACACTTAGATCACAATGTTTTTACTTAATATTCTTATAAATATATATCTAATATCAATTTTTAGTAAGAAGAAAAATTCTAATAGCTTACATTAAAATAAAGTACATTTTAGATTATACCCGTTCGTTAAAATGGCAGCTTGAAAGCGAAATGACGAAGACATAAAAAAGAAAGAAATCATTACTATCTGTGTAAAATTAGTATTGCATGAATATCACGGCCATACCTCTTAAATGTAATATGTAAAATACTGAAATTTGTACGACGTAAGAACAATTCATTAAATTTAAAAGAAACATTTGGAATGTAAAGCCTTATGCCGTAAAAACTGATACTCAAGTATTAGAAAATGATGTATATTCTTGTGTATATAACATTAATTATGTATGTAAAATAATATAGTTTCCAATACACTAGTACTGTACAAATACTACAGATAAAAGGTCCAATAAATCAGATATTGAAGGATTTTGATACTGGAACCGATTATGGCGATGAGATCGGTCCAACAGGCCAACTTTCGTCACATCTTAAATTAGAAGTCGTTATTCTGAAGTATCAGAAAAGAATATGCATGTTCATATGAAACATCGTTTTGGTTTGTCAACACGTTAGCATGTGGAGATAAGAAGAAAAAGTTACTGACTGAGGATCGAGGATCGCGTCAATTGTTGGACCCTCAGACAAAAATGTTGTCCTCGTCCTTCGTCTTTTGTGTTTTACCGTCATACTCAGTTATTAACTTGTTGAGTCATGGCCACACAGCAGGGCGTTTCTCACCCAAAGGCATTGATATTGAAAGCTTGGTGTTAATTAGCATTCTTGTTAATATCTGTTTACCGGTTTTTGTATCGAATCAAAGCTGAAATTCAGAATGTGTTAATGGGCCTCAGTATATATTAAGTGAGCTCAGTCTTAGTTTGGTTTACTAACCGTGAGCATCACGTTCAATTCTTTTGGTGAAATATTTAACGTCACATATCGATAAAAAAAAACTGACGATTTTGGCACTCAATAAGGTTAGGTCTCTTTGACATCTGTTGATATGGAAATGCATAATATAACATTTGTGGAACCATTTGCAGAACATGTAACTCTTTTGAATTGGATTTTGGGAGTTATCATGGCTGTGGCGATTTCAGTGAATTTGCTCTGTTGCGTCATCCTCGTGAAAGACAAGGAGTTAAGGAAACACAACCAGTCTCTGGTTTACATTATCATTTCTCTGACTGAAGTTTTTATTGATGCTATGTACCTAGTGATGGTGCGCTGGAGGGGAGACGCTGATTACGTCTGCTTGATTGTCTTTCTTCTCTTTGTAATTGGGCGGGAAAACATCTTACTGCATCTCCTGTATCTCTGTATTGAAAGATGTTTTGCCCTCAACATGACAACAAATGAATATTTTCGGAAAATGATAACCATTAAAAGTCGAATGATATTTCTAGGAATTTCTGTCGTTTCTTCCACCCTTGTTTTCACTCCAATTATTTTAGTGCACACACAAAAAAATGCATACTCATGTATACCGAACATAATGTTCGGGAAGTACGAACGGTTTGTTTTCGGGTTTAGCAGGACTCTGTTTTCGCTGGAAATTGTAGCTATGACCGTGATACACGTTTATTTAACCAAGAAGATTCATACATTAACTTTACCAATCTCAAACACCGCCTACTCTCAGCGAATCACTGTAGCACACGCAAACCCAAGTAAAAATGACGTTAAACTACAGACATTTTGTATTGAAGGTACTCGGCAGGCACGTCTTTTCAAGGTACATCCTAGAAATGATTGTGGAAATGCAAATTCTACGTCAGAAAATATACAAACTTCCCAGGAATTGCCAAGGGCTTCAAACACCGTAATAAATGCTAAACCAGGCAGAAGATGGAAACTGAGAACGTTTAAAATGCTGCAGTCAGCTATTTTTACAACTGTTATTCCAGCTACCCCAATGCTGGTGATACAAACTGTGAACTATGCAGTTCCAAACACTCCAAACAACACAGTTAACATTATTATCTCGCTGTGTAACGTTACTCACGCCATTTTGTTTCCACTAGTATTCATTACCTCTGTCAAGCAAATAAAATCCTGTTGTCAGCGTTGTAGAAAAAAATGATTATTTCCAGAATTAAAACAACAATAATATTGATGTTTTCTTTTAAATCTAATGTAATAGATTATCAATGCTTGATTTATATACAATATTTGATTTTTTACAAGAATAATTTTTATACAATGATAATCTTGTATCCCCCCCCCCTCCCCAAAAAAAAAAAAGATTACATTAGTCAACAGTCCAGAAGTCTCAAAAGTCCATTTTACTAATACATTAATGAACAGAGTCAACACGGACCTCTAAAAGCAGAGGTGGGATCAGGTGCCATGGAGGAGTAAGCATCCTCTTCCAACCGATAAAAACTCCGCCGTTTGCTCTTTGTTATGATTGAGTAAACGGCAAATCCGTAGACAATTCGGTGTGAAATTATGGCCTAAGAATTTGTTTGAAAATCAATATTCGACCTAACGACAGATTGTATTTGCAAACAAGGACATTGTATCGACTATAGAATTATCGAAATGTTGATTTTAAACGAGGCTGTTGATATCCTTATATCATAAACTTACTTGTCAATAGCTTGCCTCTTTTTGATATTGTTCGTACGTAGAACATAGAAGAGTTTTAATAATTGAAGGACATGTGTGTAACTTTTATTATGCCTGATGCCTCTTCCAAAACAATGTTTGAGGAAATACCAGCTAAAATTATGTGTTAGGTAATTTTTGTTTGAATAACATATTTATCATTTGATATCTATTCAAAACCCCAGGTTATGTATGTTGAATTTTTATCTAAAAAATATGATGACAATTATTTGAGTCATGAGTCATTTGAACGCAGTGGTGCAGTGACCACTTGAACTTGATCTAAGAGTTTGACCCAACTTTGCAAACTTTACCAAACTTTAACCTTGCACATAACTTGCACATAACTTTTGAAAAGTTAGTGTAAGGGCTTTCATAATTCACAAGTGTATTTCTTGTCTCAAGACCTTTTCTTGTGTACCAACAAGAGGTTTACCTCTTGACCTTGAAGTTTAACTTACTTATGAAAACCTTTAATCTTGGCCATATCTTTACAGCATTGATGCTAGGGCTTTCATAATTCACATGCGTATTCCTTATGACAAGACTATTCTTTTTCTATCAATGTTTTTGACTTCATGACCGTGACCTTGCAATATGACCTACTTCTGAAAAAACTTGGCCATAACTTTTAAACGGTTTGGACTAGGGCATTCATATTTCACATGTGTATTCCTTGTGACAGCACCTTTCTTTGGGTACCAATATTTTTTTACCTCTTGACCTAGGAGTTTGACCTACTTTTAAAAAAAACTAACCTTTGCCATAAGCTGCCATACAGGGGAATCAGTGTTTCGTAAACACATCTTGTCTTTTATGTGGCGAGATTATCCACTTATGATTTGAATTTGTTTACAATTAACACAAATTCGTCGACTTGTAATAAATATATATATATATATATATATCTATCTATCTATAACGAACGAAATGTTATCCACTTATACTTTGATATGAATATGCTATTAGTGAATTTATTTCGTTAGTGACTAGTATGTTTCTATTTATATTGCATTCCAACAATAAAGTAGATAAGTGTAGCAGGAATACCTTGTCCAGTCATTATTATGTATAATTAAAGCTGTACGGTCCGCGAGTGTTATGTATTTTTTCCCTATGAAAATTAATTTATCATATCTTCAAATGGTAAAAATATCCTTTTCATCAATCCTAATAAATTTTATGTTTTTAGTTTTGTGCCTTAGTTCTGGTGAATAACAAACCATATTCACCACCGAAAGAGTCCATAATTGTTTTATTATATAGTCCGGATTTGAATAAATAAGACATTGAAGGCTGCATGATGATACCACTTTCATTTACGAACTTCTGTCGTGGAAAAAAAAAATTATAGCTTCAGTGTTTTCCTTTTGTTGTTTGTATGACATCGAAATGTTTAGAAAATAATCCTGCGATAGGCTTGGCTAATGTTTTTCCTGCTCAGATACACAGCTGGTTCCGGTCGTTGCAACCATTGTTTACAACGTTGTTTGAGATGTTGATTGTGACGTCACAATGCCGCAGCACGCGCACCGATCCTCAGGTGAATACGGCTTCAAAACCAGTGAATATGTAGTGTTATGAACTGTTTGTGTTTGTATAATTTATATAGGAACTATAAATAGACTATATAATAAATATAGGATCTCCCATGATTTGTAGTTGGATATGATTTTTATCCAACGAGTTGTGTGTTTTTTATCCCCAAGCCTTGGCGAGGAGATAAAAACACACAACGAGTTGGATAAAAGTCATATCCAACTACCAATCATGGAAGATTCTTTTTATCCCATGTTTAATACTTCATAACCAATGTTTTACACTGTTTTATACAGGACTCCACTTTATTTTACTTCATCACTCTAACGCAAAAACCATTGTGACGTCACAACTGCACTTAATTGTGGAATATGAAAAAATTATCCAATGAGTCATATCCACGGGATAAAGGGGTAAACATGGGATAAATAAGTATATTTTCCCCCGGTATTCACCTGTAGGGTACTAATAAGCATACATATACTATTTATGGTAGACTTCAATTTTGTCTTGCGAAGAACAATACAGTGTATTTTTCCTCTATATTCCTACAAAACAAAGGCAAATTTCCAATCTTTATACTTTGTCATTTATTTACTTCATGTTGTTTCTCGTACATTCTCATTAGACCGTAATGACCATATTTTTCATGTGTTAATATACGTTTGATAAACATGAACAATATACTCAGTAATAACCGGCTTTGCAAACTCCTATATGTGTTAATTGGCATTATTAGTCATAGATGTACTAAAGACCCTTCTCATATAGCGACCACATGTTTGTAGAGGTCATTCATTTTATTCTCTACGTGTAAATTAAGTTTAAGTATACTCTCTTTCTTTCTCCCTCTCTCTCTCTCTCTCTTAATGAAAATGTGATGGACGCCCTTGTGTTCAAAAGTATTCCTAGCTACATCACTGATTCCACACAACTTGTCTGGGTACACACAAGGTGTCATTTTCTTTGCTTATGTTAAAGTTGAAGATAACGAACAGTGATCAATCTCATGAATCCAAAGAAAACGAATCGCGAACAGGAGAAAATACGAACCCCTGGAAACATCAAAGGTGGGATCAGGTGCTTAAGAGAATCAGTTAGGGGACATGAATAACATACGCAGGTGATGTTGGGATATTACTACATAAATAAGGGAAGATGATGATGGAAAAGCTGAAGTCTTTTCGTTTGTCAAACAGTTATTAGTTGGCCAAAAGGTAAAGGTATTGCGGTAAAGGTCATCATGCTAACGAAACACTTTATGTTACCAAAAGTATTTCTCCATTAAATACAACTTCAGTGATTTTTTTCAACAAGTTTTAGGGGTTCAAAAGCAACCTTCCAAAAAGGCAACGAATCTAAAATCCTATCAATTAGCAGTAGCCGATACAAACATCTATATGAATGGGTTGATGAGGACGTGAATCAATTAGCAAATTGCTATCAAAGTAATGAGAGTGAATATTTTCAGGGTTTAGTGAAAAAAAGATATTTAAGTAATTATGCTGGGTTTGAGTGTCATTTTGTATTATATGTAGAAGAAAGTTTACTTATGGCATTTCGTCCTTCCCACGTAGCCTAAGACTATTTGGATTTTGTGAGGAATATAATATAAATGTTCCCCAATGTGTGTTAAATTTCATCCCTTAGATATTGTTGATGGTCGGAAGATATTATGTAATAGTATTCAGCCTCTTTTGAGCATGCAATCCTAATTTAATCATCACAAACAAATCACAGTATTTTTAAATTCTTTTCAAGACCATAAAATTAATTTCATTATTCGACAAATTGCGATGTAATAATTTGCAAATTTAAAAACAATTATATTTCTATTGAATTCAGTAACTCATATTTTTTTATGACGGTCTTTTATGATATCCTTGGCCTAAGTCATCATTAGTATATTAAATATGCAGATCAAAAGTATATGAAAAGTATCCTGGTCACGGCACCAAATGTAAAGGAGAAAAGTGTGATGGACCATACCAGGATTCGAACCCGGTCCTCTAGATTCACTTATCAGGTGCTCTACTAACTAAGCTATCTGGCCATCGACTATCATGCGAACATGACCGCCACATTGGCTTTTAAAAATTTGTTGAATCGGAATCTTGTAAATTCATCATTTTAATTTTTATTGTTATCAATAATATAAAATATGACGATGGTACAATAAAGAGGTTTCCTGTGAGGCTTCATGTATGTTGTTTTCCTCGAAAAGATGTAAAGTTATCCTTTTGGTGACGGTCCTGAAAAAAACTGTCACCCCCATTGTATGATCAGACAATGCGGCACTAGAAATTTTGTACATCTTATGTTATCAAGACACGTTCGTAGAATAAGAAGAATTCATGTCAATGCAGATGAACTGTTGATTGTGTTACTCAAGTCTGGGATTGCTTTCATCATCTGGTTCTTTTTGTTCCGGAAATCGATTCTCTACTGAAAAAGTAAATGCCGGAATCCTGCCTTGAAAGCTGCCATCTTATAAAATAAAAAGAATATAATCCAGTTTTAGCTGTTTGACTGTAAAACATCTTACAAAAACAATTTAATTCTGACTGTAAAACATCTTACAAAAACAATTTATTTGTGATCTTCTAATAAAAGGATAAATAAAATACTTTGTGGGGATAATATATTAAACTATGACTAACATTTTATTTGTCACAATTAACTGAAGTGATGCAGTTTGGGTTGATTTCTTTTAATGTGTGCAAATTTATTGCACAACAAAATCACCCAAACTTATAACACGTATATTTAAACTGATATCTTATATCACAAGTCCCAATGATACATTAAGTAAACAGTACATTCTGAAATGAATTAAATGATATGCAGGAGCTACACAAAATAGCAAAATATTAGTTAAAACAGAAGTTGAAATAGCAGCCTTGGGGGACTGGCAGTATTTTATTCTCACATATCGTTTCTTTGAATTACCACTAGAACTATACTTTGGGGCTCAAGCATGTAATTGTCATGGGGTAGTTATGCTAAAATGGCAGAAGTGTAACTAGAAATTGAGATGGTGACCATCTCGAAGGGTTCCGCTCTTAGAAAAGTATGGGACATTAGGCTAAAATAGACATGTGAAGAATTATATTTGGAGAGGTCAATTCTGTGCTCAAAAAAATTTCTACATAAGAAAATTAGGGTTTGGGTGCTGCGATTGGACATTTTACGGATGAGTAATTGTGATTAAAATGTTCAAGCAGGTTTTTCCGAATTAGCTAAACTAATCCTATGTAAATCATATAGACAGATGCCTTAAACCAATACTGTGTGTAGTTAAATTCATGTATAAAACATATGGGACGGAGAAAAGGAATTCACTTTTAAACAGGAACAAATAATTTCAAATTCTACTTTTCTTAGATGTATCATACAGTATATGAATTAACCTCATCCTGCCCCTGTAAGCCCATTTGATTCCTCTTTGTCAGAAATATTTGTGTAGCTAAAATACTGCTATTGCAAAATTTTGGAAAGTTTTTTTTTTTTTTTTTTTTTGGGGGGGGGGGGGGTCAGATACATTAAATGGTACAGTAAAACTTACTGTGTTCAAGAGGACACGATGGCGCGGAGTTACATCGGAACAGACGATACCTATCTATTAACTCGTTACCTTTATACATATTAAAGGGTTTCAACAGTAATGATGTAGGCGCGGATCCACACCGTTCTAAAAAACAAACATTATATACACAAATATTCAAAAAGGCATATGTTAATTCAAATACTACATACAATATTAGATACATTTCATTTTATTAGATTTTGCCCATAACAAATCAATAACCTACCCAATCGAAATGAGCGAGTGTTCGGTGAACTACTCTGCCTTTCCATATAGCCTTCCTGAAGGGAGTGTTTTCGTTTTTCTTTATCATAACCGCTCCTTGATTTTTTGGAACCTGTATACTTCTTTAAATTATGTGAATCTGTGGCTAACATGGATCCACTATGAGCTGTCAAAGCATTAAAATAAAAAAAAATAGTTAAATATCTCAGAAATGATCGATTTTTATGTGCGCATCTGAATAAGGTTGTTTGATTGCTTGTTTGTTTGCTTAACGTCCCTCTCGAGAATTTTTCATTCATATTGAGACGCCACCACTTGCCGGTAGAGTCCTGCAAATTTTAGACCTATACTCGGCACCCAGGACCATTGAGCAGTGAGGGATCTTCTTCGTGCCAAAACCTAATGCGACATGGGACCTCGGTTTATAGGTTTATACAGTCTTTTCCGAAGGACCGGTCTCCACGTCCCGCAGTGGGATTTGAACCCGCGACGTAAGGATCAACTCTTACTCCGCGACTCTAGGGCAAATCTCTAACCACTGCAACACGCGGGCGACGAATCAGATTGTACACATGGTCATAATTCCATCAAACGTATTGACCTTAAATAAATCCCTTTCCAACAGATAACAGATACGAAGTTATGATAGTTATGATAAGTTAGCTTCAACAGATGACAGTTATGATCGGTAAACCACAATTAATTAATGATAATTAAGATAGATTACCTCGGCAGATGATAGTTTATGATAGGTTGCAACTACAGATGATAAATGTAGTTATTAATTGATAGCTAAACAGATGATAGTTATGATAGATTAGCCACAAAGATGATGGGATAGGTTAGCCAAAAAGATGTTCATTATGATCAATAGGTTAATCACAACAGATGATTAGTTATGATAGGTTGGCCTCGACAGATGTTAGTAAATAAATGATAAGTTATCCACAACAAATGATAGTTTGCCGCGATAAATTATTATAGTTATGATAATTTGCCACAGTAGATGATGGTTATGTTAGGTTAACCACACAAGATGAGAGGTATGATAGTTTGGCACGACAGTTGTTACGGTAGTTTTGATTGGTTAGCTACACAAGATGATTTTTATGATAATGTGCCACAACAGATGATATATATGATAGGTTGCCATAAATTAATATTCTTATTTACCTTGGCAACACTGTCAACAGACATTGGCTATGTAAGATGAGCCACAACAGGTGATGGTCAGCTGATCTCATCCTTACCTGATCTAGAGAAGAACAGATTGTATAAGTCATGGTCCTTATGTTCTGACCTCTTCATACGGCATCTCAAAATACATAGAAGCACGAACACGACGAAAAATAGGAGGACCACCACCACGGTTAATGTGGATCTGTAATATAGGAAGAGATAAATCTAGAAATCACCAGAAAGATACAGCCAGATTGTAAAGAAGTAACATCTTAATAGAATGAAAGATTGATTGCTGTGATCAAATCTGTTGTATATATATTGCGGAGGCCACAATATAGGTGAAAGTAGCTGGAACACCAGAGCACGTGTTACTCCATTTTAATCGAAACTACACACAAAAGAATACACTCAATTATGACGTAGTACACAACATCAATTATTATACAAGACAAACAGACATGCACAGTTTCCGGATTACATACACAACACTCCTCCCCCCTTAAGATGAAAACTATTAATAAAACATATAAAAATAAAATGTTATCTTACTGAGTAAAGTTCGTTAATGTTTCAATGTATGATAAACATTTGACTAGAATAGAGAACAGATATGCATAATACTTTAGCAATTGTAACACATGGCAAGATTAAGAACAAAAGTACAAAATGACTAGAAACAACTGAGACAGTCACATTAAATCTAATTCTTAAACAGTTAATAATTTGCACACATTTACAAGTCCAGTTTCTGAGTTGGTTTACGGATCCGTTGCGGATAGCGACGTGGTGTATTTTCGGGCCTTGGCAACGGTACCTGTTGCTTAGTAACCAACGGTACTGGTTTGTCTTTCAGTGATGACTTGGCCGGTTTCTCAGGAACGGCCGGTGTTCCTGGTGTGACAATGTCCTTTGGTAAGGATACATCGGGCAAATACAAAGGTAATGGCGGTTCACTTAGATCACCATGTAATTCTGTGTTTTTCATTTGATCAACGTGTCTTCGCCATGTTGAACCATTTACATCAACTTGATAAGACAGTGGACCGGTCCTTGAAGTGATGTTTCCTTTAGTCCATCTTTTTCCTTCCCTGTAGTCACGGACTAGCACGGATTGACCATTTTCGAATTCGCGGATGTTAGGTCCGACATGTTTTGGCATTTCATGCTGCTTCTTGTGGACGACATCGGCGGTGTTTGGTTTCACAAGGTCAAGGCGAGAGCGGATGTTTCGGCCATACATACTTATTGATGGAATTTCGTTTGTTGTTGCGTGAGGAGTTGTGCGATACTTGAAAAGGTTGAGAGTAGCAGATTTGTCGTTGTCAGCACTCTTGATTGCGCGTTTGAAAGACTGTACAAATCTTTCAGCCTGTCCATTGGTGCGGGGATGGTACGGCGCAGATGTTATGTGTCTTATTCCATTGTGGGCCATGAATTGTTTAAATTCTGCTGAAACAAATTGCGGGCCATTGTCAGAAATCACTTCATTCGGTATGCCTTGACGGACAAATAAGGTGCGCAGAGTTTTCACAGTAGCCGATGCTTTAGTAGATGTCAAGCCATTTGCTATGAGCATCAATCACAATAAGGAACATAGCATTCTTAAAGGGTCCTGCATAGTCGATGTGCACATGATACCGAGGAGTTTCAGGCCAGTCCCATGGGTGTACTGGTGCAGCAGTAGGCTGATTCTGTACAGAAAGGCATCCTGCACAGGAGCGACATGTTTGCTCTAGGTCATTGTCAATGTTCGGCCACCAAATGTACGATCTTACATATGCCTTCATTCGGACGATGCCAAGGTGTCCCATATGTATTTCATCTAGTAATTTGGACTGCAGACTTTCAGGAATCACTACCCGGTTTCCCCACATGATACATCCTTGGTGCAATGTAGGTTCGTCCTTTCTCTGAATGTAGGGTTTCAGGCTTTTTTTCAAAAGTGTTAGGGAATCTCCAAGTCGACACAAAGTCAAGGACTTGTGCTAATATTGGGTCTCGTCGTGTTGAATTGCGCACTTGTTCGGAAGTTACAGGTAACATTTCTAACTGTGTACTGTAAAACACATCTACTTCATCGGTCTCCTCAGTCTCTGTAGAGTCAAGTTGCAATCTGGATAGCGCGTCTGCATTACAGTGTTTGTGCGTACTTTTGTAAATTATGTCATAGGAATGTCCAGAAAGGAAAACTGCATATCGTAGAAGTCGTGCCGAGTCATTGCCGGTAGGGCTTTGGACGGGTTAAAGATACTAAGTAATGGCTTATGGTCAGTGATCAGAGTGAAATGTTTTCAAAATAGGTAGGTATTGAATTTCTGTATACCCCAGTAGATAGAAAGTGCTTCCTTGTCTATCTGCGAGTATCCACATTCTGCCTTCTTCAAGGTCCTTGATGAGTAGGCGATAGGGCGTTCACTTCCATCCGAAAATGTGTGCGACAGCACGCAGCCAATGCCATATGGGGACGCGTCACATGCTAATTTTAATGGAAGTTCTGGGTTGTAATGACACAACACTTGTTCAGAAACCAGTATGTCCTTCACCTTTTTGAATGCAGTATCATGTGAATCTGCCCATTCCCATTTCACTTTGTCCTGGAGGAGTCCACTCAAAGGGGCCACAACTGTGGAGTAGTTTGGAATAAACCGATGGTAATAATTCACCAATCCAAGAAATGCTCGGAGTTGTGTGACGTTTTCAGGCTTGGGTGCCTCAGTAATTGCAGTAATTTTATCTGGTGTTTTATGTAAGCCATTCTCATCAATCTCATGTCCACAAAAACTCACCCTTTTCTTAAAGAATTCACATTTGCCCAAATTGACACTTGAACCGTATTCATCAAGACGTGACAACACTTTACTGAGGTTACGCTTGTGGTCCTCATCAGAAGTACCAGTGATGATGATGTCATCCAAAATGCACTGGATGTGTGGAATGCCCTGTAAAACTTGTTCTATGGCTCGCTGCCACATAGCCGGGGCTGAAGCTATTCCAAATACCAGTCGGTTGTACATATACAACCCTTTGTGTGTGTTGATCACGAGAAGTTCTTTAGATGCTTCATCAAGGTCCATCTGGTGATATGCTTGGGTGACGTCAATTTTCGAGAACTTCTTCCCTCCAGAGAGATTTGCAAATATATCATTAATCTTAGGTAGCGGATATTGATCCTCTTTTAAAACTGGGGTAACTGTGACTCGATAATCACCACATATGCGAATGTTACCATTTTTTTTCAGGACTGGAACAATGGGGTTGCCCAATCACTGTGAGCCACATGTTGTATGATCCCTTGCTGTTGAAGTCGATCCAACTCTTTTTCTTTCTTGGGTCGCATTGCATAAGGTACATTGCGCGCCTTAAGGAACTTCGGGTGTGCACTGTCCTTAAGAGTAAGGTGAGCCTCAATATCCTTGAGCTTCCCTATACCATCTGCAAACACAGTCTTGTGTTGGTTCAGTAACTGGTCAAGGTTTGTAATGTGGTCAGTGTTTGATATTCCTTCTAGGTGCAATGCTTTAATATCAATCCAGTTGAGTTGCAGTTTCTCTAACCAGTCTCTACCAAAAAGTGCTGGTCCGCTCTGGGGTACAACGAACAAATCCAATTCGGCCTCTTGTCCATTTATTGCTACTGTGGTTCTCAGTTTACCAACGGGCCTCATAGTGTGCCCAGAGCAGGATCTCAATGTCTTGTCACATGAGTTAGTTTCATATCCTTGAAGGTTGATCGATAATCTTACTCAGAAATAATGGATAATTCTGTACTTGTGTCCAGCTCCATACGAATAAGTCTACCAGCTACAGTAGGTTTCACGATAATGGGTTTCGAATGTTTCCCTGTATGCTATTCACATTGATATGTAGGATTTGGTCATCATCTGACTCTGTTTCACGTAACATGTGTACTCCTCGGCCTCTGGATGTTTTCTTACTGTCCTGTCGTTTACCTCTGCGTTTCTTCAAACATGCCTTCTCGATATATCCCTTAATTGAACAAAAACGACACACGGTGTTAATATGTTTACATTTATCTGGTTTATGGTCACCCTCACATCGAAAACAAGGTTGCATAGGTGCAGTCTTTTGTTTGGGCTGTCTCTTAGGTGTTAATGTTTTCATGTGTACCTTGTTGACCTGTTGTTGGCCACGTTGTCCCTGCAATTCAATTGCGTCGTTGGTTGCTGTTTCCATAGCTACTGCGGTCTTTACAGCTTTGTCCAGGGTCAGGTCATCCTTTGATAAAAGGTTTTTCTGAATGTGTTCATTATGTAGGCCACACACACATCTATCACGCAATGTATCAACTAGTTGATCACCAAAATTGCATAGTATTGCGAGATTGCGCAGCTTAGCTATGTACTGCATAATTGTTTCACCTTGTTTTTGGTCCCGCTTGTGGAACCGGGAACGTCCTGCGATTACGAGGGGTTTAGGGTTCAAGTGTTTATTGAGATGATCAATCAGCACTTCAAATGTTTTGTCAGACGGTTTATCTGGAGCTACTAAAGTCTTTAGAAATGCATATGTCTTTGGACCTATTAAACTGAGTAAGGCTGATACCTTTATTTCAGCTGTTACCCCGTTGGCTAGAAAATGCTGTTGAAGGCGTTCAACACTGGCCTCCCACGTTTCTATGCCATCGTCAAAATTTCCAATCTTGCCGATTGCGAAGGTCGCCATCGTGATACGTACAGGATGTCGTAGTGTAGAACTACCGAAAAATCCTCGTCGCCAGTGTTGTATATATATATATTGCGGAGGCCACAATATAGGTGAAAGTAGCTGGAACACCAGAGCACGTGTTACTCCATTTTATTCGAAACTACACACAAAAGAATACACACAATTATGACGTAGTACACAACATCAATTATTATACAAGACAAACGGACATGCACAGTTTCCGGATTACATACACAACAAAATCTTAATTAGTTTACCTCTTTCTTCAACGAAGAACTGAAAGACAACCGCCTTCAAATTGTTCATCTATTTAATGGTTATGGACAAAGTTAGCATATAACAGGGTATTAAAAGGATTGCTTATTATAATTATTCCATAGTGAAACTTGAAGATGCTATAGTTATAAAAAGTTAACCACAACATGCAGATGTAATATTTCATTGACCAATTATAAAGTCGAAGGTCACGCAGATAAACTCCACTGGCAGTATTGAAACCATCTCAGACTTATAAACTTTAGTGTAAATTATATCAGAACAGGCCATCCACAACAACTGCAGAGATGAAGTGCACCAGTGATGCCAATAATGTCACAAGTATAGAGACCTCCAGGTCATCCACATCAAAGATAGCCATTTACTATTACCAATCCTAACAGTCTGAGACAATTTTGATAGAAATGTTTCTAATAATACAACCTAATTGACCTTTGTGTAAATTAGACGAGAGTCTGAACAGGTCATCCACACTAGCTGAAGAACTGTTGTTCTGTAGTTGAGGAGATTCGAACCGACAAAAACCAGAGAGCTACAGATTCAAGCATAGTAAAAACTTTCGATTTTTTGTCGCACACTCCAGGTATTATTTCTTTATTATATACGCTACCCCGCTAAAAGCATGTTGTCCGTTAATTGATCATACATTGTACTCCTTATCATCATACATTATTTACCTTTTCAATAGTCCCAGACTGCCCGATGTAGCCTTCGAATGTCAGTTTCAAAATAAAATTGGATACCGACATCCATGTTGGGGTCATGCTGTCTGAGACTTTCGTGCGACAATAATGTGGGGCCATTAATCGATGATTTTTACGTTTGGATCTCTAGGTAAAACCCTACTTTGATTTGTATTCCTAATTTGATTAGAAAATAGTTTCTCTTTCATTACGCTGGCTTAGCGCCCAACTCATACGTAATTATCGCTAGATTGCCATGCAAATTAAAGATCTCTGTCCGTCCGTTCGATCAAGAGTAGCTGCACCCGAGGTTAAGATAATTTTCGAGGGATGCTTTTTTTCAAAGGTACCATAAGTGCATGTTATTAAATTATTATGCCCCCGTAATCACAGATTCGGGGCATATAGTTTTTGCCCTGTCCATTCGTCTATCTGTCTGTTTGTCTTTGTCCGCAAAAACTTATACATTACCAATAACTTTTGACTGGTAGGAGCTATGGCTTTCATATTTCACATGTGTATTCCTTGTGACAAGACCTTTCTTTTGGGTACCATCATATTTGACCTTGCAGTTTGACCCAGTTTTGCAAAATTTTACCAACTTTAACCTTGGCCATAACTTTTGAACGGTTAGTGCTAGGGCTTTCTTACTTAATATGTGTAATCCTTCTGACATGACCTTTCTTTGGAAACGAACAACTTTTACCTTGACCTTTTAGTTTGACCTACTTTTGAAAAAAATTTAACCTTGGCCATAATTTTGAACAGTTGACGCTTGGGCTTTCATACTTCACATATGTAATCCTTCTGACAAGACCTTCCTTTGGATACCAACAACTTTGACCCTTTGATCTTGACGTTTGACCTACTTTTGGAAAACTTTAATCTTGGCCATAACTTTTGAACAGTTGGTGCTAGGGCTTTCATACTTTACATGTGTATTCTTTGTGACCTATCTTTGGATACCAACAATTATTGACCATTTGACCTTGATGTTTGACTTATGTTTGAAAACTCTACCTTTTTTTATATCTGTTCAATGGTTGATGCTGGGGCTTTCATTTTTACAGGCATTTCCTCGAGACAAGACCCTACTTCTGGTACCAACATATTTGATTTGCATTTGCATTTGAGGAAGTTTATCCTTCGCTATAAGTTGCCATAGGGGGCATCAGTGTTTCACAAACACAACTTGTATTTTTTATATACTCAATATCATATACAAATACATACAACGAAGCAAAAAGACGGTGTCCTTTAAAATTATACGGTCTAGGAAGCATTTCACCTCGGCTGCAACTTGGTTGACTTCTTTTTTTTTTTGGTGTGTATGTGTGGGGGGGGGGGGATTACATTTTCAATTACCCTCAGTACATGCAATATTTATGAATATATTTAACTAATACTTAATAAATTCTTATTTTCATTTCAAACATTATGTAATGACCTTCAGACAAATGGGGACGAAAAGCAAAATGAACTATTTGAAATTTCAAATAAAGCAGGAATGTAACATAAATATTTTTAAATACTTACAAAGTAAACATGACAGCTTTGTCTGTGGTCGCCATCTATTATATTGATTCAACATGCATTCATCATACTTTTCTCCCAAACAAAAATCTTAAGACCACGCTAAACCTCTCTCTCTCTTTTCGCTGATTACATTGTGAATCAGGCCCGTAGGAAGCAATTTCAGTTTGTTTTAATTGTTGTTTTTTGTTTTTTGTTTTTTTTTTTGGGGGGGGGGGGGCACAGTCATACATTTTCAGTTGGAGGACACTATCAACTACCAAAAATTCCTTGACAAGCAAAAAAAGGTCATCAGACGTTTTTATTGAGGGGGCACAAGCATATGGTAGCTATGTTTGCTAAAGTAATCTATAAACGGCAAAATTAATGAGGGCACGCCCCCCCCCCCCCCGGTTCCTAAGGCCATGAGTGAATTTTTAATTGTGAAATGCCCTCTATAATTGGCGTCAAACTAGAGTATCTCCTATAATGAACTAACAAAACTCAGTGTATTGTCGTCAGAGTAGTGTAGACTTTCCACCCCCGGATCGGTATCACAGATATATGAGTTGTTCAAGAAAAGTTGAAGGGATTCATGTTTTTATGCCCCCGTAATCGAAGATTATATGGTTTTTGCCCTGTCCGTCCGCCCGTCTATCTGTCTGTCTAGCTGCATGTTTGTTCGCAAAAACTTTAACCTTGCCCATAACTTTTCATTGGTTGGAGCTATTGCTTTCATGTTTCACATGTGTCTACCTTGTGACAAAGCCTTTCTTTGGAACCATCATATTTGACCTTGACCTTTGAGTTTGACCAAATTTTGCAAAATTTTACCCAACTTTAACCTTGACCATAACTTTTGAACATTTGGTGCTAGGGCTTTCATACTTCACATGTGTAATTCTTGTGACAAGACCTTCCTTTAGATATCAACAACTTTGACCCTTTGACCTTGACTTAAGAGTTTGACCTTTTTTTGGAAAACATTGACCTTGGCCTTAACTTTTGAACGGTTGGTGCTAGGGCTTTCATACTTTGCATGTGTATTTCTTGTGACAAGTCCTTTCTTTGGATACCAACAATTATAGCCCATTGACCCTGAAGTTTGACCTTCTTTTGGAAAACTTTAACCTTGGCCATCATTTTTAAACAGTTGGTGCTAGGGCTTTCGTACTTCACATATGTAATCCTTGTGACAAGGCCTTAATTTGGATACCAACAACTTTGACACTTTTACCTTGATCTTGGAGTTTGACCTACTTTTGAAAAACTTTAACCTTGGCCATAACTTTTGAACAGTTGGAGCTAGAGCTTTCATATTTCACGTGTGTATTTGTTGTGAAAAGGCCTTTCCTTTGGAATCATTAATTTTGACATTGACCTTGATGTTGGACTTGCTTTTGAAAAACTTTATCCTCTCTCTTATCTTTTCAATGTTTGCTGCTAGGGCTTTCATATTTCACAGGTATATTCCTCTAGACAAGACCTTACTTTGGGTAGCAACATATTTGATTTGCATTTGAGAAAGTTTAACCTTCGCTATAAGTTGCCATAGGTAGCATCAGTGTTTCACAAACACATCCTGTTTTTTTTTTTTTATTTTCCTCTATGATTTCATTCGTAATTTGAAAAAAAAACCTAATTATTATACATGTATATTTTGCAAATGATTAACCAGTATATGATTAATACAAAACACTTGTGTTAAATCCTTCTTTTATTATACATGAAAATAACTTTTCCGTGCCCTTAAATTTGTATTACACTCGGTACTCTGCAATTAAGTGTAGTCTGTCATCTACTGTACATGAAGCAGACGCTCATATCGGGAAATTCAAACCTAAATTTCACGACTATAATGGTGTATTTGGCGTTCATGATAACAAAGTATTGTAACTAATCTGGAACAATAATATGTCTTCTAAAGGACACATCGTATAAGGCAGTAACCCTATAACTGATATTCTTTGCATTTATGTCCTAGTCGAAAGAGACTCAGGGAGACAGACATATTTTTCTGCTCAATTAGAAATATTCAAAGAAAGTCGCTTCTTGAACCAAACTGCGATGCACGAAACTTGTGCACATGAGAACATTCTCTGCAAGAAATGATTTCTCAGTACCAAACAATTGACAAATTAAGGATTTCGAAGCTGGGTGGTCGACCAATTACCCAAGAGATCCACCTAAAAATATCAAATATGATTTTTCTAACCATTCTAGTCTTATTTAGCATAGGAAAATCTATACATCATGATGTACCTTCAATATTCAATGCATTTTCCTATATTTTTATACACACCTCTTCTTTTCTAGCAAGCTTAAATAATCTATAAATAGCCATGACCACCAAGTCCTCTTAAAAAGATTAAAAACACGATATTTCAATGGTTATAATGTTTAATATTAAAAATTTTAATCCTCTGGTAAAACAGATGATTATATAAAAGAAGGGCGTTATGTCTAAAGTTTATGGTAATGAATTAAAATTTTATGTGGATCCTCTATTAGATTTGTGTATAACAACATATGCCACATCATAATTTAATAAATATAGTTTATAAATCTATATACATCTTAAATATATTAAACTACTAACAATGTATCTTTTTCTATATCATCAACTTAGGCAACGTTACCATTCCTCCCTGAATCAGTAGAAGTTTCTCTTTCATTGGAATGATTAAACCCGTCATTGTGGTTGATGTCAATGTTCCCTCGGCAACACGAAGTCGAGACGAACACTCGTATTTTATAAATAGTAAAGCAGACTAAATGAATCAAAGGCACAACTATAAAAATAACGCCCAGCGATAAAAGAACAGTATTTTGAACCTTGTCCCAGTCTAAAATGGAGTAGATTGTCCCCCCTCCGGCTTCGTGGAAGATAACAGAGAACACACTGTACAGTAGAGCGAGTATAACAGGTTGATACACGTGTAGAATCCGCACAGGTTTGGCACATATAGCAAGGTTAGATAAAGCATATAAAGAGTTGACAGCATGCGTCAGTATACTGTTGGCAGTGAGAGCTGGAAAAAATTAAACAAAATCAAGTATTAAGAGCTAATACATTATCATTAAGAAGATAGCAGCAACAGTTTATTTTATAGGCACAGGGAGCACGGAATACCCCCAAACAAAATAACAAATGTTCCATTTAAAAGTGTAATATTCAGATATCAAACTATTTTCAGATGCTTACGTAATGGCACACAATGTATAGAAAAGTCAAATTACCTAAAAAACGAACAAGGTTCAAAACATTAATGTAAAAGAAAACAATCTTGACGCAAGCGTCGAAGATATCAGGCCGCAAAACCTTTTAAGGACACTTTAAACACAGAAGGGAAATGTTTTTTAGTCAACCAATCTACACGTATCTTTGTCTAATATCATATTTAAAATACTAATAAATTTATTTTAAAATATGTCGTATAGTGCAGATTGCAATTTATCCCATTTTATGTCAAATGATGGATGTATGAAATTACACATTTGAAAGGATGAAGAGTACAGAGGGATTTCAAACACAAAGCAATCTTGGATTATAAATTAGAAGAATGGATGCCTGCCTGTTCATCTCTGACATACCAACCTTCAGGTTCGCCCAAAATTATGGACACCATGGCCCATATAAAAAAAAATTTCCACATTGGCGCAAACAATTAATATATTTAGCTTAGTCAGAACTTTGTTAGTTTATTATCCTTTTCCAAGATTGTCATCGGTTTCCTTGTGGAAAGTCTTTAAAATAATCCATAATCCAAAATCTTGGTGTTGATTCATTTTTGTTCAATTACTACAATTTATTGAAGTTGCAAATGGAAATTAAACTATACCGTATAATCCCTTTTTACCGCCCCTGTCCCTATAAGCGCCCCCTTAGGTCTTTTTCAATTATCAGGAAATAAGGGCCCCCTGTACAGTGATTAAAATTATCTAGAATCGTATCAAAAGTCTGCCAAAATTTGAAGGAAGTGAAAATGAAACTTGTTTATTATCCAATTTCTTGGTGGAAAATGATTCATTTAGCATAATTGGGGTGGATTATCTTCATTTAAAGTAAAGTTAAACATTATCCTTTTCGGATTTCATAAGGAATCAAAAAGGACTAGTGAAATCATCATGTTTTAATATTTTAAAAAACTGTGGAATATAAATTCATATTTTATAATAAACTTTTAAAATGTTATGGACAATTCTGAATATTTAAACTGTAAAAAGGTTTAGTTCTCCTTGAAAGGAGTGCTCCATTTAGAAAACAATGAACATGGGTACAAGCAAAAAATTTAATCACAATTATATGTGGTTGGATTTCCATGAGAAAAAAGTAATATGTGTACATTAAAAAGGTTTAGTAACAATGATATATGGTTTGGATTTCCATGATCACCTACCCCCCCCCCCCCCCAAAAAAAAATTATATATATGAATGGACCAGATTTCACTGATTTTTTTTTTTAAATAACATGCAATGTAATGCTAACAATTTAAGAAATATTATGACTAGAACATAATGAACACAATTTCTAAACTACATTATATATCATTCATGCAAGCATTCATAAAAAATTGTAATAGTTCTAGTAAAAACAAAAGGCTATTAATTAGTAAACAATGACTAGAGAACATTGTACATACACTATATGGTTATTTTTGTCCAATATATTTCGACTAGATTTAAACTCTTACAAGTTGACTAAATTTTAAAATTTGTCTCTATTTTTAAAAGCACTTTATGTGAACAAATGGGGAGAAAAAGACAAAAATAAACCTTTTCTACAGTATATTCTACGACTAATATCAAAAAGCCTATTACATGTATGTCTAAACTACTTGCATTATGCAACAATTCAGCAAACCTCAAAATTAAGCATGCATATTTTTTTTTTCAAAAATACATATCGTATTGTCAGTTAAAACTACAACCATCTAAAATACATGTTACTGGCTGTTTCTTAGCACAGTATAAGAAAACCAAAACATCATTTTAAGCCAAATGTATATAAAAACGCATGTTGAAAAATTAAAGACAATGACGAAATAAAAATAAATAAATAAATACAAAATAAATAACTTTTAAATAAATTAATAGACAGATAAATGATTTATTACTTAATCCGAAACAAACACCGTACAAGTTCCTATCTTCGGTTGACCTCATTTTAATGTTTACTTTCTGCGTAGTCTATTTATAGAATAGATAACCTTCGTTTATGCGGCATTAATATAACGATTATTTTAATACATAGAAGAACTTAAAACATGTTTAAATATTTTTTTTAATAATGAAAAACAATAAAATATGTACATAAAAGGAAAGAGAGTTGTACTTTGTTAGCTAAAGTTTAATAAATTGAAAACCCTTAATCCCGCAGAAACGCATGTACAAAATCAAAACCCGTATCAGGACAGACCGCGCTCTTGCGCGGCCTGTAATGAGTTAGACTTACTCGATACACCAATGAAATATATTAAAGGAAAGAGTGAAATTCTTGCGCATATAAAGAAATCGTAACTTTATTCCCCATTTAACTGTAATATACGAGGGTTGTCCCAAAAAGTCGTAGACAGGGAAAATAATTTTGGTTTTCTTCGCTAGATTAAATTTCTTTTCCTTTCATGGTAAAAAGCAACATTTTATGATAAAGAATTTAAAGTTTCGTGATAATAACACATTTAATAAGAAAATAATGTAAAAATGAAGAAGGCATATAAGTGTACATCGGAGCACGAAAGCAATCGTAATTTACGTCTTTTATAAGGTCATGATCATTTTTAAGTATACTGTCACGTGTGTTAGCAAGCGTCTCTTGAGCTTCTCGTTATTTTTTTTGGAAAACCACTGTTGACTGAGGGACTCAGTAAAACTGACCAATGTCCATAGTTTTGGGTTTTTTTTCTTTTTTATCAAATTCAAATATCAGTCCTCGAGAGGTACACGAAAGGTACACGTAGGTAGCAGAGAAAACACAAAAATTGACGTTGATCGTGACCCATAACGTACTTCATCGTCTGAATTTAACAAACAATACTCTACATCTTACAGGTGTAACTATTTTCGGGACGGAGGTAAAAACTGTCCTAGAATTTCTTATACCATTAAAAAAAACTTCTCTACTAGCGTTCTAGTGTGTTATGTCACTTCTGTATCATTTTTTTTTTTTTTTGTCTCTGAAGTGGACAAACCACATTTGATATTACATATCCCTGCGTCGCTAAGGCGTTTGGCGACGTCATTTGCAGCAAACTCAATTCAAACAACATTTTGAAATACCGACACCAATCCTCTGTTTCTGATGCTATTCACGTGCAAATATGACACAATACTAAGATTTTGTTTCTGATTTCACTGATATAAAATTGAGTTTGGTGTTTTACATATTACCAGAGAAACAAGTGCAATTGGAATAGTTACATGCGTAAATTATTCCGGATTTTGTTCGTGCGCCGACAGACCATAAATCGTCACAATATGATTACTATAAAAATATGTATTTAAAAATGCACGCTTTTAAGGAAAATCGATTAAATTATGGCTATGCAAAATTTGGTAAGTATTGGTTGAATGTTTACAAAGTTATAAACATTGTCTACGACTTTTTGGGACAACCTTCGGATATCTGCTTGCATTTTAAAGTAAGTCCTTAAAACAAGTTATGGTAGATCAGTGCATGGTAAACAAAGGTCGTGGTATGTGTGGGCAACAACAGTGATCGGCCGAAACCAATCATTAAAATAGGGGGGAAGTGTACTATCTACCATCATGCCCCATGTGCCTGTTCTTCCTTCTCTTTTATATATTTTTTAATTTCAATTTTGACTGAATGCGTTTTGTTTTCTGTTTGTTTTTGTCTTTGTGTTATTCATTAATAAAATACAAGGTTGGTTCACAGGCCTTGCGGCCAAGGTCATCACTTAAATAAACCAGCTTAAGGTCAGTGTAATCGAAAGGTGGAAACGCAATTAAATGAAGTGGAAGTTATATAGAAAATTTGCTTGACAGCAAACATTTCAGTTAAAGATCCTTTTAATATTTAATGAGATCACGTCGTTAATCTTTGTTTTATAAGTAACTCTAAGTGATATATCCATCCAAACATGTGTAAATGTTTAGAACTGTATTTTTGTTGCACTGATCGTCTGAAAGAATTTGGGGTTTTCAGTCACATCAAGCCAGTAGTACGAACATTGGTCAGATGAGCCCCCCCCCCCCTTTGCCGTTAATTTTGTATTGGAATTGGCATCCTTACGTGTTGCCCTAACCCCCCTTTTTGACTATATATGTTCAACCTTTTAAGTTATTGCCAAAAAAAAACCTCTGTCAATAACGAGCGTGTTTAAGAATTTCAGCTTTGTGAAACTGCATATTTTTTTTCTGTTTGTCAATCATTTTTTTCCTACTACCCCCCCCCCCCATAAAATATTGGGAAAACGACGGGTTCGTGTCTGCTCATGGATTTTTACTGACGTGGTATTATTGTTACTCACTTGGTGTCAGAAGTGTATAAAACAGCACTGTTATCACAAAAGCCGTTACTGTGGAAACGTTAAATAAAATCCATTGTATCTTCACATACCAAGGAATTTCCATATCTGAAAAAAATATAATAGTACAATGTAGTTTCATCTGGAGTTAGACTTCACATCTTGGAATTGTATCTTGTATTAATGTGGAACTCGTTATCCACATATATTGTGAAAAGAAAGGGAGCCATATTTTGTTTCACTAAATCAAAGCACCGTGCTACTCCTTAATAGGGGTTGGGGGAGGGGCATAGTGATAACAGAATGTCATTGATAGACTTTTAAAATTGTACATGGGCCACAATGATCAGCTGAGCCATCTTGGTCATGTTGTTTTCAGAAAAAAAAAAATTAAAAGATTGTGGCCTCATCCTGATCAATGATTAAATCTAAACAATCCGTGGATACCTTAATTTCATATGACCAACAGCATGACTTACTTATAATACTTACTGTTGTGGAGAAGAAGGATTTTTAAAGTTCTTTTCCTATAGCACCAATAATTGCACAAATTGGGGAGGGGCACTAATGTACATTTCTTTATGAACATTAGTTTGTATTTTGTTGAACTCATATGCAAGCAACGACAAAAATCTTAGATTTATATTGCTGAGATCATTTCATTCCGCTTAGTTTGCTCTTCAATAAGGAATTTGTAGATCAGCATATATAGGGTCGTCGCCAGAGTGTCTTTAAAAAGGGAATTTGCGGGAGAGGGATACTCCCATCTCAGTCTCAGAATGGGTGGGTTCTGGTGCATTCTTCATCGAAGTCAGATTTTCAGCAAATGAAAAAAAAATTACCAGCAATACTTTAAACAGGTGAATAATGAATTTATTTTGTTTCAAACAAGATATTTTCCAATGTGTTTTTTTAAAAGGGTGCAATCGCACCCAACGCACTTTCCAAGTCTTCATATAGTTCATTGTATTACATGTATATTGGAGGACTTTAACAAATGTTCCAAAATGATTTTGTGTATATAAAGGAAAAAATCTGTGTGGTCGTGTTTGCAGAATCATTGCATAAGGTTTTCGAGTATTTCCTGATAATTCTTAATGTGCTATAATTAAAACCTCCAGACTGTTTTTCAAACTTGACAAAATTTAATTCTTTTTAAATCTTTCACGTAATCTAACACTAAATCAATAAGAAACCCGCCATAAGATCTTATTTTATTTTATATTTGCACGCGATGTAAAGTGTGATCTTACATTTTTTTTTTTTTTTTTTTTTAGATTTTAATCAAATATCGAATTCCTTCATTACTTGCGAATTGATATTTTGAAGTAAGTAAATAAAGTTGTGATTTTAATTCTAAAAGATTCATTTGCATGTATCAAAAGATCAGTTTTATGCTTAAAAAGAAAACTCGAATGATCTCTTAAATGAATGCAGTGTCGTGTCTTAAGTACTACTTAGAAGTTTACCGTCCTTCAAGTCACATAGAAACTGCATTATTTTATTTAAAAGAGCGGATTGTATAATCAAGCTCAACATGTAATAAATTTTGGTTGGTTTTCTTAATTATGTTTGGTTTTGGTTTTCATGTGATTGCAAATTGAAAAGGGAAAAAGCAGTCAAGGTTTATGAAAAGCAACGAAACTGCAGTATCCGCAATACTTGTGATTGACGGTGTGAATAGAAATTATGTCCAGATTACCCCCGAAATCACATGTATGTTGCTACATGGTTAAAAATATTCATATTTTCAAAAAATCTTTTAAAGCATTTCCACATGTGTTTTTATTTTTAGCAAAACTGAAAAATCTGTCAGAGTTTGACGGCGTACCCCCACCCCCGATGCAAAATTGAATGACAAATCATGGAAGTTACTCATGACAATGCAATCTTATTATAATAATACTATGCATGCATACATGTGTGTATGTTTCATAATGTATGCATAAGAAGGTACATGTACCTGTAGCTCTTTGTACCAAATATGAAGAGCCTATAAGACAGGCTTGTAGCAACGGTTTCAAAAGTGGGGGGAGGGGGGCAACTTCCCAAAAAAATCTGACAAACAAAGAAAAAAAAAACGAATTTAACGTCCAAATCCTGGAATTTGTCAGTGCTCGACATTACAATATCAAAAAGTAGGGGAAGGATAACCAGCATCTAAAGGAAAATTTAGCTATGGCAAAATTCAGACCCCCCCCCCCCCGCGTTCTACGGGCCTGCAAGTACAAGGTTTGTACTCTTTAGGAAATTGGGGTGTAAGAAAAGGCTGATGAAAAAAAAAATGCTTCAGAATCCTATTACGCACATTAACTTTGAATACATACCACTTTCAAGTAGCTCCTCATTAGAAATACTGGCATATAAAGTAACAACACAGTCCAAGATAGAGAACATCGCCAGTGTGGTGTATCCCCAGTTTGTCAGGTATGCTAGCCATTTGGGATTTGGGTGGTCATCTTCGAAGTAAAACTGCAGACAAATGACCACCAGGTGAAATACGGCCCATAATGTAGTCCATACAGGGAAGAAGAGTTTTTGATGGAAGCACTAATTAATGGAAATCAAGTCGTACATTATCTTCACGTTTTTATACATATTCACAAAAACTTGGTTTATATAAACATACATATATATAATTGATTCTTCTACATGTTGATTGTTGATAGTATCAGATTACGTTAAGCATTAATTAAAAAATTAAATATGAACATTTATCAAATTAAAAAAATAACAAATCAATATAAAATAAGATTATTATGTAAATTTGCATTGTTGTGATTATAATTGATATCGGAAAATTCAAATGTACATTCTCCCCCTCCTTTTTTCAACATTCAATTCAATTATTACTAAAATTCTCCGTGTTCTCTTTTTCTTATTTTGCGCCATGCATCTTAAAACGGGAGGGGTCCAAGGATATGACTTTTTCCCAGCTCATCACTTACCTGAGACGTCACAAAATACTTGGTATGGCTGCCACCAAATCCAAAATTCTGCAGCCTAAATTCCTCCTTGACATTCTCACAGGTTTTCTTTGTCGATTTTCCAGACTCCGGATCCACACTCATGTTGCTGACATCTGTCAACTTCATTCGATACCCGTCATAAATTCTACAATCCTTGCGGTATTAATAAATTATATACGCACGATTGTAATAAACCCATAATTTTTCCGTTTTATAGCAACTTGAGGCGAAAAGTGCCTTTTATGGTTGCTGTTCATTTCCCCTACCAGAACTTTACTTGTATATGTTTACCTCCTACAGTAAAGATAATTTAAAAGCCTTACAGAAAATATAATACTAAAGTTAAACATTGACGACTTCACAAAGACATGGTAAATAAAAGAATTCAATACACAAATGTCGTCCAGTTCATTCTTGAAGATTATACGTTTTACGTTGATTGTCCGAGATAATCTCATTACCGTCTGCTTGTTTCTAAATGCTATTATATTTCAGAACTGGAGTTACCTTTCATTTTTATGATACTTGATATATTCTTTAATATGTTTTTTTTTTAAATCTCTTTGTACTTCTCAAAACTCATAATGATTGAATAACATTGGACAACACGAAGATAAGATAGGTGATAAGGTTGTTCCAAAAAATGTGCACAGTCATCGTCAATTGTATGTCTTCTATATTTTATACAGCGCTATTGTTATACATCTACATGAAAATTTACAACAACCAAAAAAAAAAATTAAAAAAGGTAAATCTTTTTATGCTTAGTACAATATTATGTAATTTGATCTGTTTATTAAGAATATAGTGTGCTTTAAATTTTCTCTGAAAAATATTTTAAAGTTTAAAATTGTGTTGAAATTAAATACATCCTTAGTGTCAATTTTATTTAAAATCCTTTTAAAAGAAGAAGGATGGGAGAACACTTACCCACTGGGTTCCATGTATTATTATATTTGACCTCAAAGGACAAATCTTCAGTTTGTTGTTCTCCGATACTGAGCTCAGGGCCCTGACCATTACTCGGGATTTGAGTTATGGTGTAACAATCATTACGTCACACAATGAACATAACTCACTTTCTGAGTGATCAGTGACCGCGCGATAATTGTGCCAAATGGATTGAAATCATTAGACTGGTATAGTAATATAATTATACCGTTATCTTAACAAATGCTTATCAAGTAGGCAAAACACTTAATTGTCCTTTGTGAAAAAAAGGGCAATGACTTAAAAAATGTCAACAAGATCACTTTTAGGGGGAGAAAATGCGGAAATATCTATACCAAAAATGCATGTAATTTATATCGGCTACAAATACTATAATGGGAGCTTTTGATACAAAACAAAATCAAAGTTTCTCGATATCTTCGTCGATATTAGATCGGTTGTAACTGTCTTTAAACAAGTACATGAACGGGATACAAAGGGCGATAACTGCTAACAAACACCAATTCTCCCACGCCGACCCTGTAAGACGAACAGACGGACAAAGTAAAAACCATGTCATATTTAAAGATGAAAGCTTAGTTGAGTAATTTCTCAATAAAAAAAATGAAAATTTAAAATCTGCTAAAGACTTGAGATGCTAGTGAACCATAATCTTCTCACGTGAACTTTTGTGAATATTTATATTGCAAGGAATTATTGTTTTGTTTACCTATGTTGTTTACCTATGTTTGTTTACCTATGTTGTTTACCTATGTTTGTTTACCTATGTTTGGAATCATGTGTAGGAGAAGGAATATAAAGCTGGCCAGGTTGACCAGTATAGTGAGGAGGACATTGGTTAGTCCCTCGGCCACAGGATAACAAACTTCACAAGCCATCTCAAAGTACAGAGGGGTGGAGGCCTGGAGACAGAGGGTGCCAAGAATAATGGAAATGTACAGCGATACTGCAATGGAAATATAATGCGCAAAATAAAAGGTTTTACTCGTTCACTTACTACATAATAACGGAATACTTTCTTAATTTGTCCTTCTACATTAATTTACTAGTATATCTTGAAATAACTTGTAATTTGAAATGTAGTAGAAATGAAAATAAGATTAATGACTCTAATGTCGTTACAAATTTATAACCAGTAAAATAATATGACACACACCAAGGCTATAAATCCTATATAATTCCCCAATCCCAAAATAATCTAATATAAGGAATCATAATTTTAAGGGCCGAATCAGAGACGGACATAAGGGAGATTCCGGTATAGAGAGCAGTATAGCACATAGACAGACATAAAGGAGATTCCGGTATGGAGAGCAATATAGCACACAGACGGACATTAGGGATATTCCGGTATGGAGGGTAGTATAGCACACAGACGGACATTAGGGAGATTCCGGTATGGAGGGCAGTATAGCACACAGACGGACATTAGGGAGATTCCGGTATGGAGGGCAGTATAGCACACAGACGGACATTAGGGAGATTCCGGTATGGAGGGCAGTATAGCACACAGACGGGCATAAGGGAGATTCCGGTATGGAGAGCAGTATAGCACACAGACGGGCATAAGGGAGATTCCGTTATGGAGGGTAGTAAAGCACACAGACGGACATTAGGGAGATCCGGTATGGAGGGCAGTATAGCACACAGACGGGCATTAGGGAGATTCCAGTATGGAGGGCAGTATAGCACACAGACGGAAATAAGGAAGATTCAGGTATGGAGGGCAATATAGCACACAGACGGGCATTAAGGAGATTCCGGTATGGAGGGCAGTATAGCAAACAGACGGACATTAGGGAGATTTCAGTATGGAGGGCAGTATAGCTAGCACGGCCAGCTGTCTCCGAGAAGTCCGCTGCATGGCTTTATTTAAGAATATAAGAGTTAAGAAAACTGTCAAGAAATTATTGGCCAAAAGATAAAATTGGGCGTTTCAAAATATAGTGGGTATTTTAAATGTAATTATAATAATTATTTAGAAAACGTAGATGAAACCTTTACTACTATAATTAAATACCTTCTGAGTCTGGTAATATATCTTCTACCAATAAAATAAACCAAAGGAAGGCTGCTCCTCCAACTAGATACATTCCAACTAGGAAAAATCGAAGATGTCGACTAAATATGTCAGCAAATCTAAAAAGTAAAGAACAACTCTTTCACAAAAACTGCGAATGATATACATTTCTTTTAAACGAAAAAATGCAGAATGTCTAAACATGTATATATGAAACTCTCTCTCTCTCTCTCTCTCTCTCTCTCTCTCTCTCTCTCTCTTGTTTAAATGTCCAAAATAGCTGCCGTTCCCATGGATTTAGAAACGTTTCATTTATTTTTAAAAATTTAAAATTTGCAAAATGAAACGTTTCTAGATCCATGACAACGGCAGCTATTTTTGATATTTAAACAACACAATCTTGGAGTTCAATATAATATGTACATCTAGTTTGAAATACAATTGGAGAAAAATAAAACACATTTAAAATTTTAAAAAATCCTTTTTGTTTCCATGGATACAGTTAAAATTTGTCCAAACAATTATATTGTACCTTTTATCAGAAAACACTTTGACTATATAGTTTAATATTTCAAAAAGAATTGTCGAACAGTTACTGAGAAAAATTAGATTTTAAAATTTTCGATTTTCATACTCCGCTTGTTTTAATGAAACTGATCACCATTTTGAAGAAGAGACACTTGTAACAATGTGTCGCCCATCATGGTGGGGGGGGGGGGAGGGGGGATTGGCTTTGGAGGAAATCGCACTCTATAACTACACGTGTATTACACAGAGTAGAATTTCCCCTAGAAAACTGAATCAGATGTGGGATTTCCGTAGGGAAAATCCTACTCTCTTGAGTCATTTTTCCGTAGCTACGGGAAATACTACTCTAGACCTATTTTTCGGGGGGGGGGGGGGGGGGTTCCTACTCTAGAGCCAGTTTTCCGGGAGGATTCGAGGGAAAAGCCTACTCTACAAGACCTATATACTCCCCCCCCCCCAATACATACACACACATTTTTCATTCACGTAGAGCTCCTTTGCTAAATGAAAATGAACAGGATATGGATCAGATCTAGTACAGTTATTTGAATAACCTGTCAAAAAGGAAACTGGAGTGATGATTCATGAAGAAAGTTATACAGACCTGCAGATTATAACACTAGATACAAATCCGGCCATTATTGCAGATGCTCCCAGCCATGCCACCTGGTCCTGAAAAAAGAGCAAACAAAATTTATACAAGACCGACGGAATGCAGAGGGAAATCAGAGCACTCTGTTTTCGGACACTTTCCAAATTCGCAGAATGAATACGTAAAAACATTAAGTATACCTCACTCACCCTCTTTTTCACTAAATGCATACACATGTCTATATTGGTTTTACTCAAAGACAGCTTCTTTGAAAACTTTTAATGATTTTATATAAGTGTCTACAGACCTGGCTGAATCCATGTGGTTTTAAGTAGACATCCAGGACACCTTGCCAAATATTGAAGACCCCCATAGACACACTGTATATGGCTGCTATGATCCAAAACTCACGAAGTCTTTTAAGAAAAAGTGGCGAAAATTAGATAGAATCAGTCGTTGTTTTAAAGTACAATACATAACTTTTTATCTTCAGTTCATAATGGAGCAAATTCGGGCACATTGAGAGTATTTTCATGGTGGGTGGGGGGTGGCATCCTCGCAAGACAGAGGTCCTGAGTCAACACGTTGCCGTTGGACGTGTTGACTCAGGATCCCTGGCTTGCGAGGATGGGTGGGGGAGGGTAACAGAACTTTCTCCACATGCAAAGTAAACTTAAAGAAAGAAAAGGTGGGAGTCATCAGACATTATTATTGAATTATTGAAAGGGGGGGGGGGGGCAAAAGTAAAAATGAATTCATTTGGTTTTTCGTTATATAACATATTATATCATGTACTGGCACATGCCCCCTCCCCTCCCTCACAGGTCCTTCATTGATGAAAACCTTTAAAGCAATTTTTTTCTTTTCATGATAAAGTACCTAACGATCTTCTTTAGTCCATTTTTGAACTCAATTCGAGGAATGGCAGCTGTTTTTGTTGGAGGCAGTGGTGGCTTGTTCGGAAAATAAATTATCATAGCAAGGAATAACAGGACCGCCCAGGCACACTCTACAACATGCAAGAAAACAACTAATGAAATTCTCCGTTTTTCAATCAATTTACAGCTTCTGAAAGATTCATTTATCATATACATTGAATATGAATGTTTATCAAAAAGGTCTTATATATCAAACAAAGCAAGAGGTCCATGGGGCACAACGCTCACCTGATTTTTCTCATCAGATCTTTTCCCCTATACATTTATATTCCTTTGTAAAACTTTGATCTCCAAAGGTGGCCCCATCCTAACCCCAGGGGCCATGATTTGAATAAATTACTTGAATATAAACTACTTTAGGATGCTTCGATTCCATATTATTATGTCATCCTGGCTTTGCTGTTCTTGAGAAGATTTTTAGATTTTTTTTAGATGTATTCACATGTAAAACTTTGGTTCCCCATTGTGGCACCACCCTAACTCCAGGGGCCATGATTTGAATAATCGTGAATCTACACTATGTCATGAAGCTCTCACAAAGTGTTGTAATTTTTGACCCAAAGGTTCTTGAGGAGAACATTTAAGATTCGAACCATATTTTTTTCTTTCTTAATTATCTCCCATTTAAACGGGACCCGTTCATTTCTTTTCACAAATTTGAATCTCTGGATCCTTCACCCAAGGATGCCTTATAGTAAGTTTGGCTGAAATTGGTAAAGTGTTCTTTGAAAAGAAGTTGAAAATACGAAAAGTTTAACAGACAGACAAAGAGACGATAGGTGATCAGAAAAACTCACTTAAAACCTGTTAAGCTTTTGGTTCCGGGTAAACTAAAAAGAGTGCTTTGATTTGTTGAATATTTCAAGAATGACATAAACTAGAGAAGATTAAGGCCAATCAAAGGTGTATTACAATATATAATTTTACCTACCGACATACATTAAAAGCATAATCTCATCCTTTTCTTTTTGGATCCGCCCCTGGATGAAACTCTCGACTGGGGTGTCATTGAGGTTCACAGTCTGATTACTTGCAAAATGAAAAGGAGAAATAAGAAAAGTTAGGTTATTCAACTGAAAATTTTGTGATATTTGCTTTTGAAAGACAAAAAAAATCATATAATTTATTTGGAAAGAAAATTAAGCCATCTGGTCTACAATTCATGCGATTCTATATTCATAAGATTTTTTTTCTTTTATGATAACACAAGTTCTTTAAAAACAAAAATTCACCAAAAAGATTAAGATATTGTTTATACCTTTTATTTTCTACTTCAAATGTTGATGGAGAAGTTTTTACAATACGTGGTCCTGTCAACAACAAAATCCAATAAAAATAAATCAGATATGTGGCGCATTGCATTCCTGGATCGCCATTTCTTGAGAAAGAATTGTTTTCATTTCCGCAATTTTCAATGGATATTAGTCATCATTTTTGTAAATTTGCAGATGAGGAGTATCCTATTTATTTATTATTCAATATTAAATAAATTCACATTTATTAATTGGATGTATGCTTTGGTCTCCCCCCCCCCTTCCTGGAGGTTAGAACAAAGCTTCTCCTGCATTAATTTTGTGTCATAAAACTCTTAGATCTTAAAACGTGCAAATATTATATCCATTGACACTACTATCTCAAAAAATGGTGGAATGCGATATACGCAACGCCCATCTGACTTATTTGCAACTTCATGAGGTGAGATATAGCACAATAGTCTATTAGTATCGATATACGTAAGATTGATATACACAAATATGGTATACAAGTTAAAAATATATTATAATAATCTTCAATTTTAATTAGCTAGATTATTCACTGTAAGCTCCTTTTTAACGTTATTTGTCATTTTTTTAAACTCAAATGAAGCAGCTGCAATTCAAAATATAAGTTGCACACTGTGAAGAGCGCGGGTAGTGCAAGTGTCCGGTAGCACAATGGTTGGCGCACTCACTCGCTTTTTCACCGCTGCGACCCGAGTTCGATCCCTGTGAACAGCAGTGGTTGTACGTGAGAGGAGAAAGTTGTCGCCCGCGCTCGGACATGTGGGTTTCTCTGGGTACTCCATTTCCTCCCACAGAAATCTCCCCCCTTGCAACGTCCGTGCAATAACGGACCCCGTTGGAAATAAGCTTTCGAGCTTTCACGGGTTATCCTTTGTGTTATATTGTATTTTCGTATATACCAAATAACATTTATTCATTTGTAAAAGAAGGAGGAGGATGCAGTTAACACCATTAATATTAATTCTTAAGTACCAAAAATATCCTTCTCTGCCTTTCTCCCCCCCCCCCCCCCTCGACCCCAGTAAACATTCATAAAACAAATACTTTTGGCAACAAAATATGCAAATGTTCCCAGCATACATCGCTGCCGTCGACGTCGCGACCACAATATGTACCAGTATATGAAAGGTATACATATGTACATGTATGTACACTTTGTCGCCCATTCCGCACATATCGTCACAACATCTTACGGACTTTTTTTTTTAAATGCATTTATACTTAATGGGTGCATACCTAGGTAAGGGGCAAATATCTAATGATGTTCAAAAATGACAGAAAGGAAAAATTAAATTACTGAACATCTATGTTTATTATTTTTATTTGGAGAAAAAGAAATCATTAGCTATTGCTTAGGGTAACAAATTGGAGATTAAAATGTTTAACTATTATAAATAATTTTAAAAAAATGCAGGAAAAATATTTTTCATATGTATGCGGGTGACACCACAACATAAACAATATTTTCTGGGCAACCTCCCTCATTTTATATGATAGGCCTATTCTATACCTATGATGAATGAAATGGCAATTCCGAGCAGATTAAACCCTGATCCAATACTGGTAGCCGTCGTTCGTTCACGTACCGGAAACCAAACCGTGGAAACAAGAGGCGGGGCACCCATAGCAATAGGACCAGCAAATCCATTCAGCGCCTGACCTATGTTAACAGTCCTGTAATGGATCGGGGAATATGAAACGTAAAATATTTTCACATACATGTATAAGTTATGTACATTGTCTTTGAGTGTCATTGTTTTAAATATGATTATGGCAGTGTTTAGTTTTTGCTGACTCATTAAATGACCTATACTTTAATTATATAATATAATTAATCATATTCGAAATATTCATATGAACATTCGCTTACCACTTATATTATTTAGATTATTGCAATTGCTTAAAGTATACGTGTGTACACTTGTTTATCTTTTTGATGGATCCACACATGCTAACTAGTTCAGTATCAAAGAGCCCCACTCTCCTTTCTTCTCTTTTGATTGCATACTTGTATACGTAATGCAAGTGTTATCATAAGAAAAATAAATCAAATCACATAAATTTTGATAGATGAATAAAACGTTTACCATGTCACATACGGGTGTTCGATTGTAATACATCGAACCCCCGCCCCAGCAGCTACGAGGAACGCCGATATTACACAGGAAAATCGTAATCCTGAAAGAGGTCAGGGATTATCTTTAAAATAACTAACACAATTTAAAACTGGAAATATTACATACAAATTTAACGACAAATGTCAACATATGCGATTTATCTTCAAATCTTCAAAAAACATAATATTTAATCAGCTTTACCATTAGACCAAAAATATTGCTTCGGTATTTGAAGGCCTCGAAGCGCCTCCAAAATTGATGCTTTAAACAAATGTTCCGTGTTGGAATACCTTTCACGTCGGCAAACCAAGCTGCGAAAAATCCGGCCACAAGGTACCCAATGGGTCCCCAGTTTTCAAACAAAGCGATGTCACTGTCCGCCCATGTGAGTGCGTCCTCGCTGGATTCCGCGATAGGCCCCCACGTGTTCCAGTAAGCTCCCTGGGTAAAGGCAAGCAGTGAAAACAAAAACAAAATGTACCATCTTCGTCTATAAAGTTTCGTTTCGTCGATTTGTTTATCCTTTTCTAAGTCCATATTATCTGATGTCGAAATACTTGATTCAGAAGTTCACTTTTTTATGCTTTGATATGGGGTAGGTCAGGTACAAGAGGGAGAGATACACAGGAATTCGTTTTGTTGAAAATTGGAACGTAGGTACATAGATACGAAGTGTAATCTTCATGTATGTATTTTTTTTTTTTAAATTACGTACATATGCAGGTATATGTATGCATGTTCGGCGCATGAATCCAATATTAAACCACATTTTCATTATACATATACATGTGCATATAGTACAAATAAAATCCATGCCGGTAGGAACCGGGGGGGTACGGGGGGTGCCCCCCAATAATTTTGCCGATATATAGAGTACTATAGAAAACATAGATACTGTATGATTGTGTCCCCTCAATAAAAACGTCTGATGACCTTGTTTTTTTTTTTCTTCTCAAGGATTTTTTGGTAGTTGATGTATGACTGTGCCCCCCCCCCCCCAAAAAAAAAAAAAACTGAAAATTGCTTCCTACGGACCTGAAATCCATAGTGATAGGTACTCCAGCTCCCATCTAAAATTAATATATCTTCTAAACTTTATATGTAACGGACAATGTTAGGAATAAACATGTCGACTACAACAGCTTTACAATGTACATGTTATATATTTTGGGGAGTACCTTTGCTTCGAGTGGAAGACACGGTATAGGAAAGGAAAGATAACTCCAGCTTAAGGAGTTTGAATGTCAGGCTGTGATGTTGGTGCTCTGTCGGGATAAGTAATTAAGAGTGCAACTTTACACTCTAGGGTACGTGGTGTGACATACTGTATATATACATTGCATAATCATGGAGACAAGATGAGAAGATGATCAATACTATTTTATTAGCAGCAGCAACACGTAGAACTAATAAATAATGCTCGAGATCTCTTCAAATAGAATGTCAATGGCGGGTCACTATATATCAATCATTCAGGATTAAGGGGGTGAGGGTATTAATTTGCGCCACATACAATTAAATGAATACATAGGACTTTTTAATGTAATACCAGAGAAAATGAAACATCATCTCAACATATTAAGGCTCGGAGTAAGCGAGTGCACATGGCATTATGTGATCTCGGTATTTAAGTGAAAGGGAAATTTAAGAGTTATCGCCCCTGTATTGTGCTAAGCGCCTTCCTCCTCACAAAAGGCCAGGGGCTCACCTGGTTATCACTGTAATGATTTTTATGCATTATTTGAAGTAGGGCATGTACATTGAATGACCTTGTTGTTTTGTGGTTAAAGAGGAAATCGCACACACAAAGTGATGATTAATGAAACAAGCACCTGCACAGTTGCTACACTGCTACCAAGATATTACTGCGTTAGACACTTCCTGTCTTTTATATATATATATATATATATATATATATATATATATATATATATATATATATATATATATATATATATATATATATATATATATATATATATATATATAAAATATCTAAATACAACCCTCGTTAACTTTTTAACGTTACATTTTTTTTAAATGACTTCAAAAGTGTCAATGAAACAAATGGTAATTTCTTTTGTTTGTTTGTATTTTTTTTTTTTTTTTTTTTTTTTTTTTTTTTTTTTGAGAGGGTGTGGTGTCCTGTACAATTTACAGATTTTGATATTAAGGAAGGTTAATAACAAGAAGCATTTTCCAAAAGAGAAGTTACAATCAATGAATATATTTTCCAATTCTATCAACAATCATGGATGAATCATTTTTGTTTGGAATGAAAATACCAATAGTATATGAAAACCCACCATTAGGATATGGCTTTCACATTCTTTAACATCTGAAAATTCATATCTTTAGTTAGAAAATTAATTATATTATGAGCAGAAACAAAGATAAAGAATTTAAGATGCTTAGAGTCTTGATGAAAGAGGAAAAATATCTTGTACGTAAGCCACTTCAATGAAAATCTGAAACAGGAAGTTGTACACTTCAGACATTCTAGCTTCAACATCCAGTCTTCACCAAGCATGTGTTAATTTACAGTTCTTTGTTTTACACAATTATTATACACAGAGGCAGGGAAACCACAGGTATGTACAAAATTTGTTGAAGAGTTACAATTATATGATATGGACTGTAATTGAAATATCATTTGGCTTGTACAATTCTTATCAGTTCTGTAAAGAATTAAAGAACTGAAAAAGATTTTTTTAAGCTTACATTGAGGATATGGAGGCAGAAAGTGTATTATGTCATAGATTTTTACATATTTTATTTGTTATTTTTTACCCCCCCCCCCCCCCCATGAAACTTCTATTCATGTAAGATTTTTATTTTGATCCCAGAATTAAATAATTAAAATTATTAATATACAGTGTATCTTTTATTAATCATTGACATATTATTAATGCATGATCATATGATTGCTTATCCATGTTGGAAATAACACTATTTTCTTTTTTCCCCAGTTGAAATACCCGGTAGAAAAAAAATATTCTAAGCCTAAACTATTACTGTCTTTGTCTTGTTTTGACAGGGTTCTGATTGATGTCATCTATCGTGTAGTTGAATTAATTACATGCATGCAGCATGTATTATTGTCAAGGTTTCATTCTATATATTTTAAAAAGAGTGATTCCTGAATAAAGCAGCAGCCAAAATACAGTCCTCACATATAGAGCAGATTGGAAAATGGAGATTAATGAAATATGGGAAACATTTATATACTTTATACATGTATATGTCATTATGTATTTCCTTATAGACCTATAACCTCAGCATTTTATACTTACCTGTAAGACTATCTTATATCTACATCTCATTATGTATACAGTCATAAGAGACTATGCAGAATTTTGAAGATGTTTTATGAATTTTGATATACCTATGACGTCTGTGTGTTTATTTTATTTTTTTTTTTTTACAAGGTGTTAGTTCATGAATATAAAATTGGAAACTTTTACAATTATAGGGAAATATTTGAATATCAAATATTTATTGAAATGTTCATAATTCTTGAAAGAGGAAGCTACAAAGATCAGTCTCAATTGATATTTTGGTTGACATCTAGCAGGAAGCTGTATTTATTATAATGCCATCATCTTTCATTTTGGGTTATGCCAAGAATGTTTTTAGACTTTTATCGCTTGGATTGTACACACAGATTGAAATAAATGTATATTTCTTTTGCATAATTTACCATGATACCTTTTACCAATTTATCAAATATTGACATGTATTAAATAATTATGAAACTGTTCATGATTTATTAGAAGAAAAATAGATTTTGACACTTTGACAAGTAAAATTGATATGCAAAACCTGTATGGATTAAATCATAAAAACTCTGAAGTACCATATATTGATAACTAAGTTATTCATATTAATTAATATACTTCACAGGTATTGAATAACTGAATTTTAAATCATTTTAAGAGTAAAAATAATTCATTTAATTTTATTCCAAACTCACTATGCCATATATTTAATAATTTATGGAAAGATTGAGATTCAATTTTTTGAAACTGGTAGCATGTACAATCTTTACCCTAATCTTTAGAAGAGACCAATTTAAACATCTAAGAAAACAGTACTGTTAATAATTACCTCCAAGATGAACAGATAATCTGGAAGGAAAAGGGGAATTTGCTACCTAGAATTTATAAAATTTATAGGTAAATCTCCCTTTATATTTACCAAATCAGATAGCTCCAAGATGTTGTAGAGGTACATGTACCTGGTGTTCCTAAAAAACGTTAATTGGAATTATTATTGGCCAGTTTAAGCCAACCATGTAGTAATTTTTTTTTTTTTTTTTTGATGATGATTTATAATCCCTAGCTATTCATTTATCCCCTGTATTCAGAGAATTCTTGTGTTACTTTTAAATATATGGCAGCCTTAATGCTTGATTTTTTCTGTTTTATATTTTCTGTCTTTGACTTGGTTTTTGTTCTTTAATGCATGAGATTATAAAGTTCATGCATCCATTTTGCATATTAAGGAAATATCATTATTGCAAGCAACTGTCTTTGATATAATTATTACACATTTATTGACTTGTTTTATCAGATCCAAGAACAAAACTGCAACAGTGTGGTTCAGGCGTGTGTAAAATGCATTTTGCCTCATAATTAAGGAACCCTGTCAAGTTTTGAACACCATGCAACATGTATATGATATCTTGCAAATCTTGTGTTCTCACTTCAACAAAATCATGTTGTGAACATTTTAAGTTCAATAAATATTTCGTGTTTATATGATTTGTTTAGGTTTAGTTTACATGATGTAATTTGAAACATTTTATTTTTATTATATAAGAGTAATATCTCTGTGATACATATACCTCAGTTCAAGTAAACATGCCATCTTATGTGATAAACATGGATTGCAGAAAGATATTTTTATACCGTTGATAAGCTAGTTAAATTAATGTTATGTACCATGTGACGCTGGTTCTCAGTATATTCCATCAGGTCTGACAGTTGGTACTTCCCATACAGGACAAAATTTCTTAATGATCAGTTGACCCCCCACAGTAACAACCCCTCCTCCCATTTCCTCCAGGAAGGGGTAAAGGATAAAGTTATAACACCTTCCAGTATTTATCAGTGCTAGGATTAACAAATCACATTTGTAAACAGTTTGTACAAGACCTTGTTTTGCCTGGGTGATTATGAAAATTCTGCTTCCCTTGAAGTTAGCATGAGAGAGATTTTTATTCAGTATCTTTGCCAGCTTTATCATTTGGGCTGGTAATTGTTATATTTTTTTCTTTCTTTGTGTTGGGAGTGTCGAGTTTATATGAGTTGGTTTTAAATTAGTTTACACCCTCATGAGAATTTTTTGATGGAAATTTGATGTGATGTGTTATTAACTGGTAGTTTTACATGTTGGAATGTTGGAATTGGAGATTTCTGAGGGGGTAAGCTTTTCTGTAAGTACTACCTCAGTGTACCAATATAACAAAGCACTGTGAGAAAATGGAGAAAAAGAAATTAATATCCTAGAACTTTTCATTAACAAATAATATGATA